GTGATAATCAATGCAGAGAAGGTAACACAGGCGTGTTGACAGATGCTAGTGATCTATGCGGAGAAGATACCAAAGGTGTGTCAACAGATGCTTTTGATGATCTATGCGTAAAAGTTGGAAAATGTATGTCAAACGATGCTAGCCATAATCAATGCAGAGAAGGTAGCAAAGGTGTTTCAAGTGATGCTAGTGATGATCTATGCATAGAAGGTAGCAAAGGTGTGTCAACAGATGCTAGTGATGATATATGCATAGAAGGTAGCAAAGGTGTGTCAACCGATGCTAGTGATAATCAATGCAAAGAAGGTAACAAAGGCGTCTCAACCAATGCTAGTGATCTATGCGGAGAAGATACCAAAGGTGTGTCAACCGATGTTTGTGGTGATCTATGCGTAGAAGGTGGAAAATGTATGTCAAACGATGCTAGTGATAATCAATGCAGAGAAGGTAGCAAAGGCGTGTCAACTGATGCTAGTGATCTATGCGGAAAAGCTAGCAAAGGTGTGTCAATCGATGCTAGTGATCTATGCGGAGAAGGTATCAAGGCCGTGTCAACCGATGCTAGTGATATATGCGGAAAAGTTAGTAACAATGGAGTGAACAAAAGAAAACGAGAGAAAAATTTTCTCATTCGTTTTAATTTGCCTGCACCAAAGAACTTGGAAGGGTCTGAGGCAATGAAAGTGAATCCCTTGCCAGTGCTGGAGAAATCACATGCTCCACACTATGAAGCTCCATTGGTAAACGCAGCCTTTGTCTCTCCGATACCGAATGTTGTTACTAAGACTGACGAAGATGTTATCGTTATTTCTGATGACGATGAAGTTACTATTATTTCTGACGACGATAACGAGGAAGAGTATACAGACGGCCTAATGGATATTTCTATGTCTAGAACCGCGAAAAGGTGTATTATTAATGGAATTCGAGTAAAACAGATTCCATTGAAGAAGAAACAAATATAAGAGCTACTGCTAGTTGGCTCGAGAAGAAGACTATGCTCTAGCGTTTAAGTGTCATGTACCTTTAAATTATCGATAATGTTTGTATTAAATCTTCTTCTTCTTCTTCCTTTATTTTTTTTTTGGTTTTTGACCACATCTTCTTCTCTTAGTGTTAAATCTCTATCTTTTATTGTCGTTATTGTCATTAGTTATTTCAAAACATTCTCATGCTTATTTCTCATTGATCACCCTCTTTGATCACTTTTATTGTCTTCTCCATACCTTAAATGTTCTCGGCCACAAGACAAATTTGAAAATGGAATCTAAAGAATTAGTGTAATGCTTTGGGTTTGCGAATTTATCAGTTTATTCAACCAATTCTCTAAGACCAAATCAGAATTTAAACATGAAACTATTGCAGTTGGGCTTAGCTACCTGCAAATTGAAATAGAGAAGAGGTTGTTAGGGTTTGGCTGCATATGGCAGCAGCTTGGTACTCAAGAAATATTTTGCAGTATCATTTAGGTTCCAAAATATACAATAAAGTATTTCATGAATAATTAGAGACTTGTTATTTCACTTACATTCACAAGTTTCTTCACGGGCTATCAGCTCATCGTCACCTTCTCACTAGCTTTAACATTCCCACCTCTGCCCAAAATCACTATGCCATTTGCCACAACTTCCTTCTCTACCAACTCCACACATCCAAGATATTGTACTTCTTCACATACTTCAAGTTCACATATACAGATGATATACTTAACATCAAAAGCTAATATTAGGCCTTAATGATAAATAGTAGCAGAGGCCTAATATCTAGTTTTATATGTCATTTTATATTGTTGACATTTTGAAATGGGCTTGATAGTATTTAGGTCTATTAGCATATCATAACCATAAAGAATCATTCAAATTAAAGAAAACTTTCAAAACGACTTCCATGATTAATTAAATAGATTTGGGAACTGAAGTATAGCAAATTCGTGTGATGTGAATCAATACATGCAAAAAGGGTCTCAAACTGTCACATGATGATGAGTATGTACGTAAAAAGGTTATCAAGATGTTTAACATGGATGACAACGAAACCACAGGTTTTCTAATACCACAATTTTGTTATAATTAACCAACTTAAAAAGACTTATACAATATTTTCGATAACTCATTCTGTAAACAGTTAAATAATTCACCTAAATAATGAAAGATGTTACAAGTTACTATCCAAAACATAAATAGATAAAAAGGTTTAGTTAACACTAAATATGAGAAACATCATATCAAATAAGGACGATCTACTATCTAGTTAAGTTTGTTGTTATTACTTGTTACTATACCTAGAATTATCAAATCTTGGAACCGTTCTTGTTCTCGAAGCATTAGGATTAGCTCTAACATGACCAACCATTGAAACCTGAAGTGCTTCTTCTTCATAAGCTCTCCTCTCTATCTCCTCTCTCATTGCTTTCTTCTTCCCTTTCACTACCATCGCCACCACCAATAACCCTAATAGAAACGCTCCAATCATTGACCCTATCACACTCCCAACCGCCACTTTCCACCGGCTCAATCTCCCTCCGCCGCCACTTTCATTCACCTGATCAGGAGACGAGGCCGGCGTTACCACGTCACTACCATCACTTTTGTGAGCTCTAGTCACGAGTGCGTAGTGGCCTTGTCTTGTTCCTAAGCAAACGTATGCTGAAACTTGCTGTCTAAACGTTATGGTACCGTTACTTGTGAAGCAAGCACACAATAGAGATGAGTTCTGATTCGTGTTAGGTTTAGGATCACCACTTGCCTTGCTGCTGAAGAATTTGATCAAAATAGGGTTTTGCTCCGTGCCCGTTACGTTAATCTCATAAGGGTTCACAGCCACACCATCCGGGTTTGAATTGTAAGCCAATATACCAAGAACCGGAGACACGAGCTGGTAATTGTAACCGGTCAAGTTATAACCAGTTGAGTAAAGATAAGAAGACCAGTTCAATCCCAAGTTCTGTCTCACCAGAATCACTCTGTCAACACATGGCTGTAATGTCAAGCCCGGACCTAAGTGAAACTCTCCGATTGTTGCACCATGTCTTCCCAAACTCCCGCATCTAAACTTAGCCGTGGCAATATCAATGGATGAGAAATTCGAAGGAAGAGGAATTTTCTGGATAGCACCTGTCTTGAAATGTATGTTGAAGTTTCTGATGGTGTAATCTCTAATCATAAGATCAAGAAGATGTGCTGATTCAACCGTCTGAGATTTGGATCTCTGTAAATGAAAAAGAAAGATGATGAAGATGATAGGTATTGGTATAGAGCCCATGTGAGGAGAATCCAAAGCTTCTAAGAAGAGATAAGGTTGCTAGGGCTGCACAGAGAAGTGATCAAGAAGAGAGAAATAGATTTGATTATGTTTAACTTTGTTGGCATGTGTATTGGGGACAGACATGATCAGTATACAGTATAAAACTATGTATCTTTATTTTGTTTTGTAAGACATAATAATGAAGAAGCATGACTGATGTTTATAATGCTTACAATACCTATCCTACTTTTTTGCAAGCCTCGTGACATTACTTTACACTTTGTTGTAGTCTTGTAAGATCATTGCTCTACTTATATTTATTTACTATTTTTGAAAGATTTTATTTATATTCTTTAATCATGTAAATGATACATTAACAAATCTTTTTTCTTGCCCCACATTAACAAATGTGTTTTTTTCCTGCCAAGAAAGTTTTTTGCTAAAAATGTGATCTTTGCATCAAAATCTAATTATAAGCAACCAACAAGAAGAAACTTTTATATCCCATTTCGACAATATCATAAGGTTCTTTCTTTCAACATTTAAACCGCAATGATGAATGATAGAGTGATATATACTTAACTTATATTAATCTATTACAAACCACAAGATTAACAGAACCGGGTCTAGTAATATAGATCAAGAAATTGATAAATGGCATACCTCCTTCAATGTTGAATCTTTTGGAGAAAAAAAATATGGTCAAGTAGTGGGTTAGATCAATGTGAAAGCATGTGGAAGCTATTAGCTAGGTCGAATGGTGAGAAAAAGAAATGGGTGAATGATGATGATGAAGCGGGCATGGGACTACGACGATGATGGTCATCATTGCACCTTTTTATACTTATTAAGAATATAGAAATTGGCATATGCTATAATATTTTTTAATAGTCTCCCAACTCTTATTAATAGAAATTACACCAAAAGGTTCTTCTTAAGAAAGTCTTGGACCATATTTGATACTACAGCTTCAGATGTACTAACCAAACTATGTTTTGCAAAATTAATGAAAAACAAGTTAAGTATCATTTCAAAACTACACATGTTTGTGCAATTCTTCATGGTTTATTATTACTTTTCTAGCTTATGAGAGCAAGGTTTCTCAAAGAAGTAATCATACAATGTTTTTCTCTGATTGCGCCTCACAATTACTTTACAAACACAATATGAGTCAATGAGAACTAGAAGAAAAGATCTGAAGATTATACAAAACAGAGCAACACAAACAAACTCTTTTGCTTTTCTTCTTCTTCTTCTTTGATTTTTCCACCTTCTTCATCTGTTAATATCAGTTTTTACATACATTTCCACATTTCCCTGAGGAAAAAGAAAGACTTAATCTTGAACTTTTCGTTGAATCAAGAATGATTTGGTAAGAAGATTAAAATTAGGATGAGAATTGAACCTTGGCATGTAGGTTTTTAAGCTTTGCCTCCTTCTGGTAATGTGATCAAACGAGAGCCTGAGTCATAGATCATCTCCGTTCCACAGCTAAACCAAAACAATCAAAAGACTTTAAGAAACATTCTAGATTTCTTTGAGATAGATTTGAGTCTAAAGCTGAGAAGCTTACCCGGAGCATTTGACTTTGTTTGTGTTACCATCATTGGAGATTGAAAGTATTGTTCCAAAGAAGGATACATTCTCTGTCCCACAGTTTGGACAAGGGCCCTGTGAAAAGATAGATTCCAAGAAATTTAAAAAGCATTTCATAATAATCACATCAAAATCATAGAAATTGGCTCTAATTCATCTAAATTTGTAGAACTTTTCACAAAATAGAATATAGATGATTGTCTATTCCCCTGTTTTTTGCATAATCATATTGGGAAAACACGATTTGATTCTGTTACTTTTCCTTTTTCCAGTTCAAGAATTGATCTGTGAAGATAATTGATGTGTTACCTTCAAGATCAAGAAGTCTTTGATGATCAGTTTGGTTAGTGATAGCGCCAGATATACAATTGCAGGCACCGCAGCAAACCATGTGAAAATGAAACTGAATGGCTCCGGAAGCTGAAAAAGATAACATTAATAATGATGCAAGAAACTTGGAAACTTATGCGTATTAAATCCTTAAGCCATACTAGAAGAGTCGAAAGAAGTTTTACCTCGAGCAGGTATGTGATTTCAAAACCCGTAATGTCATCAAGGAAGAAAAATCTAGAGAAAAATTGAAGAAAACATCTATGTTAGATTAAATTACAAAATCTGAGACCATATCATTTGAAAGTTGAGAAAGAAACAGAATCAGTACTCACAGTCCGAGAGCAACAACAGTTGCTGGTACATTTAACAAGAACATTTTGAAGTAATCAGTGGCAAGATCACTGTAAACCTGCATAATCAAGGAGGTCATAAGTCTATAACATCTCCAGAATATGCCCCAAAAAATGAATCTAATGTAATGTTCAGTAAATGTTTAAAGTATAAGTGAGCTATCTGAACAATTATACTTTCTGTTTCGTCTTAAGGATTTTACCTTTTTACTACGAAGACTGCATCTTGGACCCTCACACACAATTTCACTTCCATCCATCTATAGAAACAAAAGAGACAATCATAACGCTAGTTCAGCTTACACATGTAACAAGATGGATAAAACTAAGAAATAATACTTGTCAGTATAAAGAGATTGAGACCTTTAGTTTCATTTTGAGCTTATCATATTCTTCATCACTCAAGATTGGATTTCCAGAGACATAAGCCATTGAGGCTTCAAGGAATCTTTGTTCATCAGAACCTGCAGTACATCGATAAAAACCTGATCAAGAATCAAGAATTGAAGCGAATGGATTATGACAAAACTTATGAATCATAGTGTTCATTACTTAGCATGACAACACTGCTTCCTTCCCACATCAACTCTTCTTTAAGGTTATCAAACTCTTCATTAGACATAACCGCTTTGCCTTCATAATAGAACGACTGCAAAAGAAAGACACATAAAAAAAAAAATCCTCAGACTTTGAAAACTTCTCTATCATATTTAGGTCACACAAATAAACACTTGTGTGTTACTTGCATCGCTTGGAGAAACTCTTGTTCCATTTCACCGATCGTTCTCTTCTCATTCTTGTTGATGCTACAGTAAGGTAAGATCTTGCTATCAACATCTTCCCCACCCACCTGACCTGTAGACAAGTCATCAATGATATAAGAACCAAGGAAACTCCAAAGAAGCAAACTTTTCGTTGATTAGAGCATAAAAACTTCTCTCAACTAAAAAAACTGAAAATTGAGTGAATTTTAATTGAGATCAGAAAGTGAACCTTAAGCAAATACACTCTAGTTGTCAGATTATCTTGTATAATTGAAAAAAATCAAAACTTTTTCAAAGCAGGTTTGTTCCCAAACAAAGATTAGAGGCTTAGAGGCCAAATCAAAGTTCAAAGTAACACTTTTTCTCAGACATCTCTAATTCTCTTATATGATTGGTCCCAAACAATGATCAGAGGCAAAATCGATAGTGGAATCTTCGAGATATACAGTAAGGGAATCCAAAAAAAAAAAAAAAAAAAAAAAAATCGAAACTTTAAAGTGAGAAGAACCTGATTGATCAGTAGAAGCTTGAAGGGGCAATAAGAGAAGTCTTCGTCTAAGAGATTTGGATCGTGCATGACTGAAGTGAGGAACAGAGTGTGTCGTCCTCGAAGGAGAACAAGTGTTGATGGGTTTGTGTGAAATTGCAGAAAATCTAGGGATTGATAGAGTAAACGCCATCATCTTACTACTCATTCTTATTTTTTTCGTTTTTTTTTAACTTCTTCCGGGAAAGAGATGATTGAATGAGTTTTAGATCGTTGTTCCGAAGGGAACAAAAAAAAAGTTGGAAACTTGAGATTTGTGTGGTTGAGAATTGAGATGTTGATGTTTTCGAGTTTCAGGTTCCTTCTGATTTTTTTTTGGTTTCAACGTGTTTGGACTTTGGAGGGAAGATTAGGAGGAAGATAAGTGATGCAGGATCGTGTGGTGATTAAGAGTTCCACGTCAGCAAATACATCGACGAGACGACGATCCTTCTTCTTTTTGTTTTCTTTGTAACAACGATTCATTTTTGGTTAGATACAATTTCGGTTTATATAAAAGTCTTGGTTTGTGTCGACAAAAAAAAAAAAAAAAAAAAGTCTTGGTTTAATCAAGATATTGGTTCGATTTTCAAAGTTAATTTTAAGTATTTTTTTTTTTTTTTTTTTTTTAAATTTTAAGTATTGACTCAATAAATTTTCCCTTCTACTTCGATTTTAACTTAATTTTCTCAATATTCTTGTTATTGTTGAGAAATTTGAGAATTTTAGAAATATTTTGAATTATTTATTTGGTGATTGAACTTGTTTTGCGAGAGATTAGCTAGATTTTTTTCTCTCGCAAATCGGCTGTTTTCTTGTAGTGTCATTTGTATATATCAATTATTAATTTGGTTTATTGAGATTGAATAGTAAACCGGTTCAATCGGATCGTAAATAAGTCAACTAAATTCAAGGTGTTCTTAGTAGTGAAGTTGGGTCGAATGATCTAATTTTTTTTCTAATACATACTTGCATACTCTACAAACATCAACGACATACTTAATAAACAAACTATATCTCGCCAATAGATATTTTACTTAGCCTATCAGATTATTTTACAAATGACCTCATCTAATATTTTTTTGAAGCTTTAAATAAACGTTTGATTATGAAGGATATCATTTAATTTAATTTAACTTTTGATATTGCAAAAGACATATTTATGAAAGTTGTCTTATTTTTTTACTAGCATTATGGGGGAGGGGGGGTTGTCATCTTCTTTTTCAACTAGTCCAATTCATCAACTAAATTCTAAAAAAAATGGAGAAAAATGGCAATAGTTTTATGATTTTATCTCTATTGTTTGTTGTGATGAAATTGACGAGGTTTTTTTTTTGTTAAAAGCAGAGGAAACAAGTTGGAACAAAACGGTACTTTTGTTCTTATTTCATGAGGCTTTAAATATCCAAGACTACAACAACTGCACCTCTTTATCATACGGATTTTAATACAACTATGAAACATATAAGAACAATTCAATAGCCACATAATTCTTGACTTTAAGATCTGTTAACTTCTCTCTCAGTGCTCCATTAAGAATCTCTCCTCGATTTGGCTCAACATAGCCTCGCTCAATCAGATCCCACCATTTTTTGGATATGAGAAGATTCTCCATCAACATGCTCCAGTGTTTTTAATCTCCATCAAATTTGGAGATCACCAACATACTTTGCCCATCTCCTGACATCTTTCACTTTTTCTTTTGTGTTCTTTCTCTTTCGTAATGTTCTCACAAAATAGGTTCTGATACCAATTTTTTAAAAACAGAGCAAAGAAGTTGGAGAACAAAACCGTACATTTGTTCTTATTTCATGAGGCTTTAAATAGCCAGGATTACAAAAACTGCACCTCTTAATAATGCGGAGGATTTTACTACAACTATGAAACAAATACGAACAATTCAACAGCCACAATTCCTACCATTTCAGAGTTTATTCAAACAACAATAGTCATGTAATTAAAGAGATAAACTTTAAGTTTATACTGCACAAAAAATCACAAATTCTATGTTATGTGAACTTATTTATGTAAAACAATACTTTAATAATTGTAAAAGTACACTAATATCTTATTTTTGAGTTTAAAATGGCTTACTCAACATTAGCTTCATGAAAATTTGTGTGTATGTGATGATTTAATAAATTTAAGAAAATAATTATTTTGAACTCTTTGATTTTTTATTTTAGTTTCATACGTATTTTCTTGGTATTAATTATAAAATCAAGTTTACTATGCATCAATTTATAGCTTTATACAATTCCATTTGAAAGCAATATCAAATTTTCTACTGATTATTATTTTTCTAATTTTTTGTTTTTTTGGCTTTTTAGAAACTTTATTTTTAAATATATAAACAGTAGAAAGCCAAATTAAATGCATACCCTTCTTATTTTCATCAGTACTCCACCAAAAACGAGCAAGAATACTAGTTATCTCCTCACATATCTCCTTTGGAAGACAAAATAAATTCATGGAATAAATTAGCATAGCTAAAGCAATTGATTTCAGTAATACCTCTTTGCCTGCTGGAGATAGAAAAGTCTTCCTCCATCCTTGCGTTCTCTCTTTCACTTTATCCAAAATATTAGTATTATTCAGCTTAACTGCTACAAATTAAATCGATTTAAATTGAGTCTCACATGCGATCAAAAAAATGTCCAGTAGGTGTACCGTGGGCCTAATAAATGAAGAAGGCCTCAACGTTTGACTAATTTTGAGCCCACTATCTTTACTTCACTATATACACAAGCGGTTCACTTAACCCTGAAACAGCCAAATCGTACACCGTTAGATTAATCTTTCATATGATCTTATCCGTTCAATTAACATCTTTCCTCACCCACACGTAATCCTACCATAATCAGAGCCAAATCGAAAGAAGAAGAAACTAAAATAAAATTACAAAACAGAGAAGAAGAAGCGAAAAAAAGAGAGATGTCGAAGCCGAACAGAGAAGATTAGGGCTTTCGTTGGGTTTTCAAATACCAAACTAAAATTAGTATTTCTTCTTCCTTCTTCTTCTTCACTTGTGTTTCCCTCTTGTGTTTTTTTTGCTAATTCAGGGATCGTTTTTTTTTTTTTTTGGTTTTTCTACTGTTAACTGTAACTGTACTGTTCTATGTTCTTCAGATTCTCTCTGTAATGTTTGCTAGTTTAATGGGCTTCGTTACTGTTTCTGGAAGTACTGTGGGAATGTATCAGAATGGTTCATTGTTTTATCTTCTTGCTTTAGATTTGGGGCTCTAGTGAAGTCGGGAGAAGAGTTATGTGGTGGATATCAATAGAGGAAGAATTAGTAATTATTGTTCTTCTGAATTGTTTTGATTTCGGTAAAGAAACTTACTTTATGGTATTTTGATCATAAATAGTATCTCTTTGGTTTACTGTTGAACTTCTTAAGTTAGTTTCTCGTTTTTTTTCCCAATTGATTTGGTTAAGTTCTTACTAACTAGTAGCTACATAGTTCCTTATTGGAGTTTAGACAATTTTGATCATGTAAAGTTTGGATTTTTCTGGTTTGTATTTATTGTTGCACTGTGATTTTGATTCCACTCATGTTCTTTTTTCATTCTTGTTTGTTATATAGCTTTGATGTGACTTCTGTTTGTGGTGGTGATTGTTTGTTGTGCTCTCTTTATTGCTTTTGTTTGATGTTCATTTCTTCACTTTTTGCTGCCAAGTTTTAATTTAGTGTTTTCGTTCTTGTGTGTTTATAGAGGCATGTCGTCTGATACGGCTAAGGAAAATGCATCTGTTGTCGATTCATCTTTGACTGATTGGAAAAAAGATATGGGGAACTCTGATGATCCAGGTAAATTTGTGAAGTGTGTCTTGTTATTAGCATTTTCTTGTCTTTTTGGTTATAGAGATTTGCGTTTTGCTTTTACTGTCTTGTTGTAATTGTGAGTCTTAATCATTTGGACAGAGAATTCAAGTTACAGAAGCAAGGAAGACAATAATAACCTGTCCAAGGTGGATGTTGAACGACCTAACTTTCCTGATCAACTTAAAAGCTCAAACCCGGATAAAAATAGTAAACCGGGCCACCAGACGAGATACTTTATCATCAAAAGTCTAAATTATGAGAATATTCAAGTTTCAGTCGAGAAAGGGATTTGGGCCACGCAAGTAATGAATGAGCCAATATTGGAAGGTGCTTTTCATGTAAGAAGCTCTCCTTTTAGGTTTGCACCATTTCTGTAATCTTTCATATAGTGTTAGGTATACTGACTTTGTAGTCTTTATGTAGAAATCTGGTCGAGTGATTTTAATCTTCAGCGTGAACATGAGCGGATTCTTTCAAGGGTATGCAGAGATGTTGTCTCCTGTGGGATGGAGGCGAGACCATATATGGAGCCAGGGAGGTGGTAAAAACAATCCGTGGGGACGTAGTTTTAAAGTCAAATGGTTGCGGTTGAGTGAATTGCCTTTTCAGAAAACACTTCATCTGAAGAATCCTTTGAATGATTACAAGCCTGTCAAGATTAGTCGAGATTGTCAGGTATACTAAAGTTTCTTCTATTTACATCACTTCCTATGATTTATGCATTGATTGTCTTAAAACCATATAATTGCTCAGTCTAGAATAGCCTAATGTTTATGGAAATGACTTGACTTGAAGTTCGTTAAATGTGTGCATGTTCTAGGAATTACCAGAAGATATTGGCGAAGCACTTTGTGAACTCCTTGATGCAAATAGCTGCGATGATGGGTTGCTGAATAGGTATTTCCACGCAATCTAAGTGGGCTTTTTTTGGTTCTTAGATCTGCTTGTCCTTGATTTTATTCCCTCACAGCTGTTCTAGGGATGATTATTCAACAAAAAGATCCCGCGCAGAACCTTTATCTTCCTCAGGAGACGAAGATTATAATAACAATATGTGGGGCCATACAGCGATGCCATACCCGCCTGCAGCTTACCCAAACCAGGATGACCTCAGCAGATTTCATCTTGCACAACAAAGAGGATATGGAGAACACTCAGAATATCTTCATACATCATCAGGTGCATCTAACTCTCGCACAGAGCAAGAAAAGTCTTTAAGATTCAACTCATGGGGTTTGCCTTTGGAAAGCCCTCTTGCGAGTTCCCTAACCGATGATGATTTTCTTAACATGGTAGTGGCATATCTGTTTGTAATATATGCTGAGTTAATCCAATTACAGTCTCTTGTTCTCGAACTAGATATTTTTTGTAAGTCATGTTGTTTAGAAGAATCAAAGATAGTAATGAGACACTACTGGAAACTTGGTGAAAACATTTGTACTATTTTTCAAACTCTGAGCTATTTCACTGAGCTCTTGCTGATCCATATTACTTACATATATCAGGGTCTGACACAAGTTTAGCGTTTTATTATGATGTTACAGGGACTTGTTTCTGTTTCTTGAGAATCATCATGAGCTCAGGTTTTGTTGTTGTCTAATTGTTGACAAAGTCTTGTGATTGTGTTTTTTCTCGTTTTTGCAGTCTTATGAAGAATACCTTGAAACCCACAGCAGATGCATGAAACAACTTGGTCTTCCTGTCAGTATGTTTATCCATCACTGTTTAACATTCATTTTGCTATTTTCGAAGTAAACTGCTGGCTTGATTTGATAATACTTTTGGGTTTCCTTCCTTACATGTATTGGTTGTCTTAATTCATGTCTTGTCATATTATCCTAGAGATGCTCATAACTTTATGGATAATCATTGGTTGATTCTTACATGGTGAAACATCTATCTCTCTGCAGGTGATTACACACTCACGGGCCACACAAGAGCCATCAAGTAAAACAGATGATGTGTAAGCTTGCAAAACCTTCTGATGAACCAAAGAAAGCTTCAATTTTCCCTGCACTTTCTGAAACTTGTCTTTTGTCATTTTATCAGAAGCAATGATTCGTCAAAAGACAGGTCATCATCAAGAAAGAGAGGACGACAATCATCCTAGAGTTCAACTCCAAACTCTACAACGAGATACCATTAGGACAGTATGGTGATGTGGAGAAGTTGTTGTCATGTTGTAATTCAGTAACTAAAAGTTTTTTCTTTTGATTGCCAAAACTTGTACAGTTTCAAACTTGGCAAAACGTAAACTTTTGGAAAGCTAAACCCAAAATTAGGGTTTGTAAGGTCTTTTAGCTATAAAGATGAATTTCCAATCTTTCAGGTTACCATGTTATAACGTCATAACCTCCATAGCACTAAAAAAAACTCCTTTTACAGCATTACATCTAATGATCTAAGTCTCTGGGGAGAAGACCCTCTCTCTGGGCCATTTCGTAGAGACCAACGCTCACAAGAACTTTGGCGTCAGCTGTTTTGCGCCAGAGCTCTCTGTATGGGATGAGTCGGACTTTGATGAACTCACCGTGTTCACGAAGTCCTGTCTCTTTGCCTTGCAATTGTCTGATCGTCTCTTGTTCAACTTTTCCTCTGTACAGAAACACGCTCATCTCTTCATCACAGCCTCCCTGAGCCAGAGAGACACCAAACAAATAGAAGCAAATAAATTAGATTCCAAACACATTCTAAGACTACAAGATAATGAAACGTTTCTGAATGTCTGCAGCTTGTTACAAGAAAAATATGAGATTAGTATACTAAAAACCAGAAGATGGATAGAGGAAGGATTACTTACGGGAGAAGGGAAAATCCGGTAACCTGTAGATGGGTCAAGGAAAGCAGTGAGATCAATCATGTCTTCTTTTTTCAGTTTTATACCAATCTCCTCTTCGACCTGATATATCAAACGAAGCAAAAGTCATGTAACTAGCACAAAGAACGAGTCCAGAAAGTCTGTCACACTCAGTTAATTCTCTACAGTTTCAAGCCATTTCAATTGCAGTCACAGTAATTTAACTCAAAAAATTCAATAATATGTCAAGGGTTCAATAAAGATAGAGGTACCTCACGAACTGCAGTTCCAACAAAGTCACCTTTATCATCATCCAACATTCCAGCAGGTAATTCCAGAACAATCTTCCCAGTAGGAACCCGAACCTTTCGAAAAACCGTACAATGTTGATATTAGTCATCTTCCACATTCAAAAAAACATTCTTTTCTGATTCCGGAAAAAGATTAACACATGAACATAATAAATCGATAACCTGTTCTGTAAGAACCGCGTAAGATTCACCATCTGACTCCAAGAGAATGAGAACAGCTACAGCTGGTCCTCTTGCAAATACAATACCTGGAACCTAATGGCGTGTTAGCTTAACAAACTAGCATACGATAGTGACTACACTTGTTGAAACAGATTCAAGAAGATGATCAGATACCTTCTGACCAGTTTCTTTATCGAAAATATCGGCTTTGAATTTGAGAAAGCCAATTCTTTTGCCAAACATATCAACTCCCTGAAATGAATTCAGAGATAGATCGTTTCATATCATTTAGACCCATTTGATCACTAAACTACAAACACAAGAGTATCTTATTTAACCTGAATAAAAACTTGCTTTAATGTCATTGTCCCATCAGATAAGATTCCAGACTCTGATTCCAAGTTTCTTAGCCAATTCCTAAACAGAGATGAATCTATTGCATCCCTAAACAACACCAAAATTAAAATCGATTACTAAAGTTTCTAAATTCCACAAGAGCAAAACTAAGGATTTTCTAAATTCCACCTGAAATCTGAGGATGAGATCCCGGGAGCTGCGGAGATAAGGACAGGCTCGTCGGGTTGGCTCGTGAGCGTGATGGAATCAGCGAGAGAGGAAGAAGAAGACGACGACATTTGGCAGCGGAGAATCAGCTTTGCTTGGTGATGAAGAAGACGAGGCAGAGAGCGTGAAGGACATGCGAGTAACCGCGATGGAAGAAGAGTAAAGCCAGCCATTGATGAGGTAAGCAATTCTCACACAGTCACACAGTGTGACTCACACACTCCTCGGAGAAGATGGGAAATCAGCACGTGTCGGATCACACGTGTCTAAATTTAGTGGGCCTTTATTTTGTCAAGCCTTAATGGGCTTTGGATTAAACAGTATAATCACCATGCGCCGGTTTATTGTATTTATCAAACGTACACGAGACGTATGCAAAAAGGTTTCGTGGTGTAGTTGGTTATCACGTCAGTCTAACACACTGAAGGTCTCCGGTTCGATCCCGGGCGAAGCCAATTTCTGGTTTTTTTGTTTGCCTTATATATGCCGTGGGTTACAAGGTTGTGTGGATGTTAGACATACACATTAGGTAGCTAAAGAAACCTTTATGATATAATCCTCTGAAACAGATTGTGAGAAACCAAAAAGGTTCGTTGCAACGTTTTTCGATGATAAGAGGCTTTTACAATCAGAACTTGGAGGCTGGTCAAGTACTGTAGTGATAATTCTATCGCGGCATGGTAACTCTTGTGTGAACTCATCAACACTATGGTCGGGTTTGGTGCCTGAGTATTTCATTGTGGTGTTGCATCCTTTGAACTCTGACATCATATACCTGTGTACAAGAATGGTCTGGTCATGTTAAACTTGAGGACTCACAAGTCTTATCAAGGATGAGTAATCATTCGGAAGATGAAGAGGAGAACAAGTCTATGATGATAAGAGGCTTTTCACTTTGCATCACAGTTCACAGAGCAATACAATAACGGTTCATGTTTTGTTTCAAGAACCCAAAAGTGATGATGAACCTCTCTTTATATTTCATTCATATCAAGAAATGAGTATCCCACAATATACATTCCCTGTGCCAAAATTAACCGATAACAATGTCACACCACACCCCTTGAGAGAAAAAATCAAGTTCTTCACAATGTTAGCCTTCTTTTTGAATAGTTTTCATCCTAAGAGAACCAATTCTCAATGTACAAAAAATGGAGATGATTCATATAACTAAGAAAGATTATTTTCTACGATCAGCGAGAATACCTACGCTCCTGCGAAATCAAAAACAAAAATGATCACCAAAGCTATAAAAGAATCCATAATATAGAAAGGAAAAAAGTAGTATCCCTTTGTACATTACTTGTTAATTTCGTTGTACCGCTGCTTTAAGTCCATTGCTTGCTAGTTTCAGGAACTACACCATGTTGTACAATCGGTTTTCCCATTAACTTGCTTGTTCTCTGCAATGTACTTACTATCGATCAATGAATGATAAAAGAAAATGCGACTGTGTAGTAATAGTAGAAACAAGCTTGAATCAATAGCTTACTTCATTCTCTGCTTGAAAAGAGTTCAGTCTGTTTTCCTTTGAGCCCTTAATGCCAAAGAATACAATTGTAAAACATGATATAATTCTAAAGCTGGGACAGGAAGGCAAATGAAATCATAAGTTGTACCTTTACTTGTTGAGACTGAGCAAATCTTGAGCGAGATCCACTGTTTTGCTGGAGTTCAGATGATAAGGAGAGCTGCACAGGAAAACGAAGAAAGGAATCTAAGGATTCATCACATAACAAGAGTTCCATAAGAACAATCTCAAGTTAAACCATTTTGAGGAAAGTAGAATGTTCGGAACCGTGAATCGAACCTTACTGAGAAGGTCTGTTGGCAAATCTGGTTGTGCCCTCCTTTCCGAGTGAAAACTAAACCCCTGAGTTTAAGTGTAAGAACAGTTAAGAGTCTATTGTCGGAAACCTCTACATAGAGATATATTTACACCAAGTGTATAGAATAATACATTGACTGACATACCAAGGGAGTTGTAGTTTCTCGCTTGTTTTTTGAGAAAATGCCAATGTCTCGTCCACTTGAAAGTATCTGTTTAATGAAAATGAAACCCTCTATGAGTGTACCTATTAGCATGAAAAGATTAATGCAGTTATATGCAACACGAGATAGAAAACAGTATACCTTATTATTAAGAGGCCGAGCTTTGAAGAGGTGTTTTCTACATTCATCCATATCTCTTGGTCTGTTAAAATTCAACTCACAGAATAATCACAGTTCTATCACATATAATTTGGAGCCCCTCGTATTTTTTAGTATCATACCTTCTTGGTTCTCTGTTAACACCGTCAAGAAATGGTGTTGTATTAGGCTTATCTGACTCCTGTAAAAACCAAAAAAATTATATCCTTTAACATCAGCACTTTGAGACTCATTGAGTGGTCTAGGTGAAAGATGAATATCAGTTAGATCTTAGTATTGGTATCAAGTAATCATGTACACATGATTTGATTCAAAGTAAGCTCAGTTGGTGTATAACCTTACGATTATTTGATACTACTGATGAATGTTGCATAGCTCTTTCTGAGGTCTTCAAGCGAAATTCCTGATAAAACCACAAGAAACATAATCTTTAAGTATTAATTTATAACCCTGTAAAACATGGATTAAGACCAGTCCAGCTTAGTTTCCAAAGCTTACTTGAAATTCTGGTAGTTTAGGAGTGCTCTTTTTTCGAATGGGCAATGATGGAGCTTCCAAGATCTACATGAAACACAGACATGTTTGAGCTAAGATACAATAACGAAATGAGTTTTATGTTAAGGTAATGGGCAGATACTAACTTTTCGGTTCAAGGGGCGCGCTTTGAACCTATATACTGATGATGAGTCCTGGTCCAATTTAGCATCAGTCCTGCGCCTGCAATAATCATTGATTAAACAGTCTGTGAGATGTGACCTTTCTCCATAAAAAAATTACTATCAACCAATGTCTAGCTAGGGCCTAACCGCATCCTATTTGCTCGGTGTGATGTTGCAAAATCAGGCCCCTGTGGGACAGTAATCTTCATCCTGGCATGTAATGAGTTTCTATCAAGATCCTGAAAACCATATAACAACCAACTGAATGATGTATACACTTGACTTGACTGCTCTTTCCAAATGTTCAGAAGTACAGAAGAAACATATAGCAACCTTCTTGAGTGCCTTATGGACCAAATTCGTTTCCTGCGTCACTTCAGCAACCTGAAACAACAGGAGAGAGCTTATTTGAAGGTCTAATTACTACCACTAGCCAACTGCTCAAATCATATCTTCTTAAAAGGAACTAGATACAACAAAACTCATGGCTACCAGAAACTATACCTTACGAAGAAGACCTCCCTCGAGCTTCTGTCTTTTAGAAGATTGAATTTCAGATCCAGATGAAGGAAACAAGCCTTTCTCCTTAATTCCATCCACTTGCATATGGATTCTAGGAGATCAACAAAACAACCAACTAGTAAGTTCACTGAATCAGGTGGACTAAAGCAAGATACCAAGAAATTATATGTACTCATAATCACCTGGAATTATCTAGTTTTGCCAATAGGCTAGCAGTAGGTTTCATCAATGTTGAGCTTCTCGGAATAGGCCTGATGCTTGACTTTGGTCGGTACTTCAGTTTATCAGAATGAATCCGATTGCTAAATGTAGGTCCTGGTAGAAGTAGAGAAAGTGAGGAAAAACTAAACAATCTAAGCCACCAGCAATAGTGTATCTAAATGAGTTTTATCAATAAAGTACAACACTAACAAAAAATCATAACCATAAAATAAATAGTTGAACAACATGTGTGGTCTCTTCAGTCATGTTAGTAAAAAAAAGTGATCACCTTTATGTAAGGACTCATTTGGATCTTTGTTCAAAGTACCACCTTGGATGAAATTAAACACCCCAGACCTCGTTCCATTTCCTGAAAACAAACAAGATCCCTTTCACAATCAACCATAACTTGTAAAGTCTTCATTTTTATAGTTGGTTTACCTAAACCTAAACAGTCCCAAAACCAGTAAACACAATCCAACATTCACCTGTTTCATTCACATGTGGTTGCTGAGAGATCTCTCTGTCACTCTCTTGAACATCAACTGTAACTTCCACATCTTGTGATTTAGACAAAGGCTTGGTCTTTTCTTCAGACAAAACCTCCTCTCTCATAAACAATTTCACCGCAAAAGCTGGACAAGAAAAAAAAAACATAAACAAACTTCAATCCTAAAGACAATTCACGATAAAATCGAAGATTATGTTTCATTACCGCATTACGTAAGATGACGTAACAAAAAAAAATCCAAACTTTAGAAAACACAGTTCAAGAAAACAATCAAAAAAGCCTGAGAGAGCGATACTCACGAGAAGGTGGATAAGACTGAGCAGTCTCGAACCAAAGTTCAGCAGCACGAGACTCCAAAGCTAACTCCTCCCGAGTAAAATCGAACCAACGAGCAGCATCAAACTCATACTCCGAATCGATTTCAGTAACTTCAAACACCATCATATCCGTATCCATATCATCATCGGACTCAGTCTCCGTCTCCGTATCCGTCTCTGTCTCCATCTCCATATCTCTCTTTAAAACCTCCACTGTGCTGCAACAAAAACAGAGACAATAAAAACTGGTTTACTCACCACAAGAATCAAGACAGAACCCTAATTTATGTTTGGTGTTATCAGCATTGGGTTTTTATTTTGATGAGATGAGTGAACCAACACAGAAGTAGAAGAAAGAAAGAAAGAAGGAGAGAAGAGAATTGCAGAGAAGGAAACAAACGTCACAATATTTTTTTTTTCTTTAATTAAAAAAGCGACAAAACGGCAAATTTATGTTTTCCATTTTTATTACAGAGCAACAAAACGACACCGTTTGATGTCAAGCGTGCAGTTTTTCATGACGTGGATTTATTATCTAAAAAACAAACGAGTTTGAAATTGATTGGACTGTTGAGAGGAATAGCAGAAAAGACAATAGTACCCCCTATGAAATGTAAAAGTGTAGGGGTGTTTACGTCATTTGGTCAAGAAGTGACGTAAGGGGTTTTTTTTGTTGTTGGCGTTCGATGGAGTCTGAAATTTTCGGCGGGGAATGGGAATCGAGAAATGTGGGTTTATTTTCGATTCTGCCACCACCCCAACAGTTTGCATTCGTTTGTCACGTTTTGACCTGGCTTTATCTATTTAGCAATTTAAAAATAGTTTTAGTCTTTGACTGTTTTGATTTAGATGACCAAATTTATTCATTATTAATTTTTAATGTTTTCTTTATATATATATGACTTAAAATAGAAAAGAGCTATAAAAAAAAATTTAACTAATTTATGATTTCCACTGTATCACTTTAAGTTATGTTTAAGATTTTTTTGTATCAATTTAAGTAATGTTACCAACATTTTATGCAAATCTTTTTAATGTATCTGATCTTTTAGACTATTTATAGTGTGCAACATAAATTTTATTGGTTAAATTAGTTGTAACTGATGATATTTTTACATAAAAGAGGTAACAAAACTTTTTTTTTTTGTGAGTTCTTGAGGAAAGATATTATAAAACAATAATATAAAAGAAATAAATCTTCCCATTAATCTCCAGTTAAGTATAAGCTATGTGTTGGGTCCTCACAAATATCCTTAAAAAAAAAACTTTGAATTTAATGTGTAACAATTTTTTAATATATAAAATCTTAAAAAGTGTAACTGAAATTGAAAGTCATTTTCACATAAAAAGAACATGTGTTTCACCAAAATGACAAATTGCTATTAATTACCCCATTAATGATGAGCAAATGTACTTTTTTTATTTTCGCATGAAAGACACATCATCACAGATACAAATGTTGTAAATGGCACCAAGCCAAAACTCAGAAGTATAATTTACTCTGATTTAAAAAAAAAAAAGCAAATTATACATTAAAGTTTTGACAACGTAATTTATAACTGGTAATTATATGGTAAAGACAACCCAGGAAAATATTTAACTTTTGTGGGTTCATAGTAAACGCTAAGACTTTACATTATGTACTTTTCGACAAAAACTGACTGTGTCTAAAAAGGATTTGGGGTTTTGGACCAAAAAGCACTTTTTGAAGGGAATTAAGACAACATTTATTTTGGGATGATGAGAGTGGTTGAACCTATTTGTTTCTCGGTTTAGTGTGTTTTGCGATAGAGCATCAAATGCACCAATTTTGACCAATAATTAAAAATTATTAACCCACGTAAAACCTGAAATAAATTATATCTTTAATGTTTGAAAAATCCTATTAAGTATGGTTTAATTTTTGAATAAGGCCAAGTACAAAATCATTGGGCCTTTTCTCAATTCAGCCCATAAATATTTGTTTTGTGGCCTTACTGAATCTGGATGATATAGACATAGTGATAGACTGATACAACATCAGCAACATGAAGTATGGAAATTGTGAAATTGGTACGTACAACTCGTGATCCATGATAACTGTATTGAATGCTCATATTTGAGAAACTATAAACAACTATTTACATTTTACATTGAGCAGATATAGAATGAGACATGAACTTAAGTTTTTAACTATTATATATATACCAATAACAACAATGTCAGTTACTTGATTCTTTCCAAACATCAAAGACACTAAAGATCGTGTTAGAGAGTTGTCTGTGTTTATAATTTTCTTTTCTTGGCTGTAAACAGAACAAAACAAGAAAGTGGAGAACTCAGAGACCGTCCAAAGAGTTCTTTCACATCTTGGACAAAACCTGTACTTTGGGAATAAAAGCAGAGACAAAACTTCAGAGGTTGCATGTTGTCTCCATTACTGTAATAACAAAACTTCCTTCTCCTTCTTCATAACTTCGAGCTGTCTTTTTGCATACTTAGTGATGAGAATAGTCGTCACAACAGCTGCTACAAAACCAAAAATGTTGACAACAATCTGAAGAATTGAGAGGCCCTTCTGTTCCTCGGTTGATGCATCTGCCAATGTTCTTATAAGAATCCCTCTGCAAACACCAAAACAACAACAACATATATCAGAATAATGCTAAATCAATCATTTATTATATGTATACTTGCAAGACGTTTCCACACTTACGTATAAAGTGCGACAAAAATCTCTGGCGCCATGCCTACGAGGGAACCAGCTATGTAAGGACCGTACTTTACACGAGTTGCAACAGCGCAGTAGTTATAAAGAGCAAAAGGGAACGGAGAAATCCTGATTAAGGTTACTGCTCGAAACTGGTGAAACCAACTTCCTCCACCAGCAGCTCTCAACATTGCAGCTTGATCTGGATATTTTTCTAACCAACCCTGTAACATCATACATTGTCAGCAATCTATGAAGAAACCAATACTCAGGAGTCATGATATAACTTAAGAAAGACACATACTTGAATTTTGTTGCAGAAGAGATAGCTGATAAAGTAAGGAAGTGATACACCAAGAGCTACAGATGGGAGAGTAAGGAGAAGACCATATCCATAACCAAATGTAATCCCAGCCACCCACATTGACGGCGTAGTTGGAATAAGTATCAGAGGAAACAATGACACAGATGCAAACACAAGAATACCACACACCGGGTGTGTAAATGTCTCCATCTCCCATTTTATAAGTGGGATTAGCTCCTGCAAACAAAGGTAAATAGATAAATCTCATAGTTAGCAACAGAGCCAAAAATGTTACAGACTAGATTTGTTATGAGTCATCAGAACATTAAACTACAAATCTCAATTCTGCTTAACTCTCATTCTAGAGCAATTGAGCTAACAGCAGTATACAAAACCGCACACATGAATCCTAAGCTAAGAGCAGGGTACACAACCTCAATTCCCATGAACCAATCATAAAAAGGAACCTACTTTGTACACTAAAAGAACAAGTTACATCATACAAACTTGTGGGCAGTACTTATATTGAAACCCAATTGATAAAGAACAAAACTTTGCAAAGAACATAGCACATACAACATCAGTTCAACAGAAGATCCTCTAAGAACAAAGATTCATTGTAAGGAGACATGCATTGAAAATAGAATCGAAACCTTATCCATGATTAAAGGAGCGAGCCATTTGTAACAAGCGAGACCTAAAGCAGTAAGAATCGTGAAGAAAAGACCAAGCTTGATCCAAAACCACACAGATCTTTTCTTTCCACAAGAAGAAGAAGAAGAAGACGGTGATGATGATGATGAATCTTCTCCTTCTTCTCCATGTTCTGTTCCTTGTCGCTGTTCTTCAAACTCATTATCACTGAGTTTAACATAACACCCTGATTTCTCAACTCCATCATCTTCAACTCTCACTCGGAATTCAGAAACCACATCGTCCTCCTCGTGATAAGTCATCGAGTTAAGTACTAACCCAGAAACAGAGACGAACGACTTGGATTCTCTTTCTCCGATGAGTTTTCGGAGAAGAACGGGAGGACAACACAGTGATGAACGAAATCGAATGACTCAATGAATCGAAAGAAACCTGAAGATGAAGGAAGGATTAAAAAAAAAACAGGATTGAGAGAGAAGATTCGTGTGATTTTGGAGAGAAAAAGAAACAAATCCAAAGTTTATGTTTATTTCCTTTTTTTTTTTTGTTAATGTGTCATGGCTTGACGCAAGTTCCCATTTTTTTTCGTTTATGAAAAAAACATATAAAAAAGTTAAATTTACGTTTGACAAAATATAATAAATTATGTAGTTTGAAAAGAACACCTGGATCATGTCGGCATAAGCTTGTGGATACTGTTATTTGAAAATTATTTTGGTATAATTATTAAATTATCTTTGATTAGGAGAGGTTTACTTACAAAAATCGACTTTAAAAAATATATAATTCTGTTTTTTTCCTAATAATACAACATTTAATCTATTTTAACTTAGGGTTAGTGACAAAAAAACAAGAATATTAAAATTGAAATACTTTTAATAGGTTTATAAATTAAGAATTATCATCGCATTTGATTATTAGGCGAGTTGGGTTTAAGTACAAGAGTAAACAGAACCAATCAAACAAAAGACGTGGTGGTGGCTTTATTGCCATACACGTGGCTATAACAAGGAAACGTTAATTAGTTTCGTTTTCGTGTGACTTTAACACTTTTTTTTCTTTTTTTGCAGGCTCGTGGTTTGCATTTGCACATCCTCTATCTCTGTAAATGGTGGTGTGTGTGGACACTGCATTTGGTATCTTTATTAAAGGAAGACTATGACTAGAGATGGAATCGAAGAAACAAATTTACTTAAGATTTCATTCTCATTGGAGGAATCAAATGTGCTGCATATTAAAATTTGAGCATCTTTTGACAATCTTTAGTTCATTTTACACACTGTGATCTCATCTTCCTTCATTCTCTTACAATCTGTTTTTTCACCACCAACAAACTGGCAAAGTCCTCTCTTGGGTCTAACATCATCCATAGCATCATCAACTCCGTATGAGCACGTTGGTTCTGTCTGTAAACTTGTCTGAACTAGATTTGTCTTCTTGAGCAACATACAATCATCATCTTCATGAACATACACTAAACTCATACCACATTTTATCACTTCACATGTTTCTATCTTCTTTCTTGTTTCATCATCCGTCACATAGAACTCGAACGAAGCCTTTGTGTAGCAACAATTGTTACTCTCTCCATGGAGATTCTTTACGTGGAAGCAACTGTTGTATCCCATGAAAACATGGTCAGAAGTGAGCTTTCTTGGTTCGTGGCTAAGGGAACCACACGGTTCGTTCCAACCTGCGAGAGTGAAATCAAATCTTGTGAAGGAACCGTCTTGGTTCTCGAATTTGCCGCAACACTTCACTGAGAAACGTTTCGCACTGTCTTCATAGTCCTTGAATGTGACAACTACAGATAACGCAAGTCCAACAAAGTTAGTGTCACACCAGTGTGGAGGCAATGGGATTTCTAGTGAACGTCCTAGTCTTTGGTGGCAGAACCAGCTCGGTATTTCAGTTGCTGCGTAACAGATTCCCACCAGAGGCTCTGGAATGAAACCCTGCAAAAATAGAGACAATAAGCTTTCTTTCTAATTTTGATGGCCAAAGAGAGAGAGAGAGAGAGGAAATGATAAAAAGACAATACCCGATAATAGCGTTTTACAGAAGCATTAGCCATCAACTGACTTTTGATTCGAGCATGACCCACGAGACTCTCTTGTGCTTCTTGGTTCAATTTGTAACAGTCGCTAAAGATGAACATAGAATGGATCCTCTCTCCTACCATCAAAGGCATTAATGGATTTGCCAAAGTTTCAAGTGACTCGCATTCATGTGCATCCAGATACTGCAGGTTTTGTGGAAGGACGGGTAGAGACTTGAGCATTTTACAAAACTTTATATCAAACCATTTCAGATTGTGAAGTTGGTTGAAGCTTTCAGGAAGATTCTCGATGTTGTTTCCGCTCAAGCATAAAGACTGCAACGAGGATAGACCACCTATGTTACCTGGGAGTTTGTAAAGACTACATCTTGAGAGATAAAGATCTGTTAACCGAGAGCAGCCCGATGTTGGTGGCATGAAGAACATACTAACAGAAACTTGACTGTTTGTTCCACATAGTGAAAATGTCTTGATATTGCTCAAATGCATTATCTTTGGCATCTCAGTAATGGCTGTATCATCCAGAAGTAAAATCTCCAAAGACTCCATGTCTTCCTTAATCTCTGGAAAAACCTCTAGTTGTGTGCAACCTGAGAGTATTAGCTCTTGAAGACATTTCAGCTTATAAAGATCAGAAGAAAGATGCTTTAGCTTTTTGCAGTTTTTCAGATTCAACAAAGCAAGTTTGCTCAAGGTTTCAATGGATTCGGGAAGGCTCTTTATAGCAGTCCCATCTAAAAGCAGAACTTCAACATTTTCCGAGATTAATGGGAATCTCTTTAAGCTGGAGCAGCCACTGAGAATTAGAGTTTGCAAGGATTGAGTTTTGTTTCCTTTTGGAAGACTCCTAAGGCTTTTGCAATCCCTGAGATTGAGGTATATAAGTTTCTCCAACCAATTCATCGACGATGGCAACTTTTTCAAACTTGTACATCCTTCCAGATTCAACCTTTCAAGATTTTGAGCATTAGCCAAACCCAAACATTGGCGTAAATTCGAAGAGTGACTAAGGTCGACCCATTTGAGATTTCCAGCATCCTGTGAAAAACAATCCAGCCACAAGTCAACTTTAGATGGCAATCATCAAATCAACATTCACTTTAGCTTATAACTGATCAAACTAGACATAAAAATATACCTTTTCATCATCCCAAATTTCTTCTAGTTGGCTATGTGGCAATTTCAAATCTACAAGGTTCTTCGGGTCAAAGTCAAAAGGAAAACTTTGTAGCGGGTAACCATGCCAATGTAGATATGTAAGCTCATTAGGAAGGAAATCAAGCCCCTTTCGTAAATGCAGTTTAATTTCTGCTTCACATCCACGAGAACAACGAGAATCGTAAATTTTCAAGTATTTGAGATTGTACATCTCTTTGAAGGCTTTGGCACTTAGACGCATTGCTCTTAGTTTTGATGTGTCTAGGAAAATCCCTCTTATCTTGTCAGTTCCCTATCAATCAAATGGTACATGTATTAATTCAAAGCAAAATGCTAAACTATAATATCAAAATAACTATATATAACGAGGATATGTCATTACCATGCCTTTCTTCAGCAAGTCACAAATATCTTCACTTTCCCATAGTCTGATATGCCACTGACATTGGTTATCATGTCGTGCTAGCCACCTAAAGTCTCTTATTCCCATTGTTTCTGCTTTTAAACTAATCTCTTTTCCCATTGTCTGCAACATGTCATGCATCTCGATGCGATTATCAGAGAGAGTAATCAGACATTTGTCAATAAGATCCCCGATGACACTAGACACATCCACACCATGACTGTTGAGAAGACTTGTCACGTAATCCACATTCTCTGATCTGAAGAAACATGCAATATCCAGAAATATATTCTTCTGCCTAATGCTAAGCTCTTCATAACTTGTTTCCAGAACTTCGTAAATATCCCCATGTGATCTACTTTTCAGTCTATCCAATTTAGCCTCCCAGTACATATTATCCCTCTCACAAAGATCAGATCCTAATACCTTAAGAGCCAAAGGGTGGCCTTTAGCGTAATCGAGAACCATATTTGTCAAACCCTCAAACTCTTTAGAAGGGAAAGAGTCATTAAACGCATTCAAGCTAAAGAGCTTCAAGGCTTCTCTATCATTCAACTTCGGGAGCACATACTTCCGGCCTTTGATCGTCTCGATCAATTTACTATCTCTAGTAGTTATGATAATTCTACTTCCTCCTTGATACCATTTGCAGTGCCCCATAAGATATCTAATCTGCTTTTCATCATTCACATCATCAAGCACAATAAGTAACCTCTTACTCCTAAGCCGGCGCTCAAATCTCTCATGTGCATTCCCAGGAGCTCCAATCTCAAGATATCTATCATTTAATACAGTGGAAAAGAGTTTCTGCAGCAAAGATTCTAACCCGCTTCGACCTGAATTTTCGCGGATATTTGTAAGAAAGCAACTACCGTCGAAGTGACCACGCATACGTCCATACAAACAATCAGCAAGAGTAGTTTTCCCAATCCCAACCATTCCAACAATTCCTATGATATGAACAGAATCCAAATCCTCCCATGATAATAGCTTTTCAAGAATCTTTAGACGTGACTCTACCCCCACGAGACCTTCGTTCCCACTCGGAGCTAAATCATTCAGCTTCTTGAATGTGTCAACAGCAATGTCATCCACAAGTTGGGCCTCAGACGTACTAACAAAATAACAAAAAAAAAAATCATCTTTAGGAAGGTAAAAGGCAGAGGAGGAAACAAAATTGCATCTTTAAGTTACCAAGTTACAAAAAATTGCAACTTTAAGAAGATAAAGGCAGAGAAGGAAACAAAGTGATAACGTCTTTGACATCAATCTAGATAAAGTGACCTAATTTCTTTGACTACATAACCGAGGATGTTGGATGCTGAGGCAAGAGCAGCTTTCCACGATGAGATCTCTTCCGGCGTAACTCCGGGAAAAGTCAATTCCGGTAACTTAAACGGCACCGCGAAACTCTTCTTCTGCTTCTCAACATCCGATTTGTCAACTTTGTAGAAGATCGGTACCACAAGCTGCTGGTTTCTATTTCTGCAATCAAGGATCTTCGCAAGCTCTCGGAGACACCACGCGGAATTAGCGTAATTCGCGGAGAAGACGATGATCGCGATCTTAGATTTCTCGATTCTATCGAAAAGCGCAGTGATATTGTCTCCTCGACGGAGCCTGTCGTCGATGAATGAGTCGATTCCTCTTAAACGGAGAGCTTTTTGGAGATGGCCGGTGAAGTTGTTGCGTGTGTCGAAGCCTCTGAAACTTAGAAACACATCGAACTCTGCAGAAGAAGAAGAAGTAGGAGGAGATGATTCCATTGGAGAAAAGCTCTGATGCAATTTTTCCTTTTCAAGTCAATGATGAGCAAACAAAAGGTAGGTTGTGGTTTCTCTGATAATAGCAGTGGAGCCGCACAAATGCTCGACCAAAAAAAAAATATCGATCCGAGAACTAAGTAGATTCGTGTAACTCTTTATCATGCTAATCCGCTAATTGTGTGCTCTTGGCATTACAAAATAATTTGAGACTTTTAATGCTACAGTTTGAATGCTCTCCATAGAAAAGTCAAGAATTCAGAGTTAGTACAAATACAATGCGATTGCGATTGCTTACCCTCTATGATTGTGAATTACGCTAATTGTGATACCCTCTATGATTGTAAATCTCATCCACTTTGAAACTTTGTTTCGCCAAATTTTCATGGATCCGTCAGTGTATATTGCCGGCGGCAATACTTCCGATCAACAGAGTCAGAAACGGCAGCTTGAGATTCGTGGTTCACGTCCTTCACCTCTTATAGTCAGCTCCCACAAAATCAAGAAACCTCCTCAACACCCTGCGAATCGTGACCTAGTCTCGCCTTATGTTCCTAGAGTGACGGTGGTGGTATCTCCCAAGGTGGTACACGCCACCGCGTCGGAGTTCAAGAACGTCGTTCAGCGACTCACCGGAATCTCCTCTAGTTTTTTTCTCGAATCTGGCGACGGTGGAGATGTTTCACCGGCGGTTAGGCTATCTTCGATGGAAAAAGCAGCTGAATCTCCGGGAATACTATCGCCGTCTCCAGCGATGTTGCCAACAGCAATATTTCATCAAGGTGGGATGTCTACGTCGGGATTCATGAGCCCGTCTCAAAGTCCTAGTTATGCTAAGCTTACTTCCACACAAGAGGTTCGTCAATCCATTAATTCACAAATTTGTTGCTACATAATTGTTCAATCCATCAGTATGAATTTAGTTTTCTATTAATAATATGTGTGTATTTTCAGGCTCTTTTTGACACGGAATTAAGCATTGGCTTCTCAAGGTTTGAGCAACGAGATGCTGCAAGTCTAGCTACCAAAATAGAGCACATGTCTGAGGCAAGTGACAGTGAAAAAGTCAGTAATGAAGAAACTAGGGTGAGACAAAAAGATGAATACGAGCCTGAACACAAGAGAAGGTAAAGTTATAAGCTTTGTTGATTTTTTTTTTTTTTTTTTTTTTTGCCGACGAACCCCATACACTAGTTTATCGGAATTGATTCTCTTCGTGAGAGAGCCAAACAGGTACCGACAAACCTACATGGGAAAAGCAGTAACCGCGTATTCTTGCACATTTCGCAAGTTTATCGGCACTAATATTTTTAAGTCTAGAAATATGCTTTAAATTGAACTCCAGAAAGGAGTCTCTAAGTTCCTTGTAGTCTCGAATCTCTGAAGCAAAGGCCGGCCAATCCTCATCGTTTGCCATCATTCTAACCAAATCCAAGCAATCCATTGCAATTGTAACTTGAACCACCAATAGATTGCTCAGACATTTCATTGCCCAAAGGAGAGTATCTAATTCTGCATGGATGGGCGAAAGACTTCGTGGGGAGCAACGCAAACCTAGTTGGAAAGTCCTATTACCAATGGAAGCTATCCAACCATGACCACTCCTCCTATCCTTCTCGTGCCAAGATCCATCAATATAACACACCAACACGTTCGTTGGTGGAATCCATTCGTCATCCCTAAGTGTCCGCACACTAGGTAAGGCTACCAATGTATTAGCTTTTCTCCAAAGTGTTTCCTCTTGAATTGCTTTATCCTTCGTATCTTGGGGTAGCTCCGAAACATTCTCGAAGCTCAGTTTATTCCGCGCTTTCCAAATATACCACATATACCATGAAAAAACGCTTAAATCCTCCTCGATGACACCACCTTCTTTTCCTCTCCAGAATAGGAAATCAAGATTACCATACAAAGAAGAAAGGGGGAACACCGACGGGTCTGTTGGAATAGGTGAAAGGGCCCACACTTGTCGAGCCGGGGGGCATTCAAAAAATAAATGGTTGATCGTTTCTTCCTCTGCCCCACAACGGGGACATTCTTTATCTCTGCCGATGTGGCGAAAATGTAACCTTTGACAAGTAGCAAGGCATCCTGTCACACATTGCCACACTAGATGTTTTAACTTCCGTGTGGTTTTCAATTTCCAAGCTTGCGCCTTAAGTGCCGTGACACAGGGTCCCTGAAAAGGGAGGTCGCAAGAAGGACGAGATAACATTCTCGCAGCCTCATAACCGGATTTAACAGTATAGTTCCCAGATTTAGTGAGGGACCAACTATAAGTGTCTGTGGTTCTATTTATACTCGGTTTAATTCCCATAATCAGGGTAATTTCTTTCGGGGGGAAGAGTTCCCGGAGCTTATCGACTCGCCATCGTTTGGTTTCTGGGTCGATGAGAGTAGAAACACTCACCAATGGATTCCTGTCGTCACCTAATCCAATTGGAGGACGGGGACGAACATCCGGGATCCACGGATCTGTCCAAATATAGGTTTGAAAACCAGAGCCTATATTTTTCCTAATGCCGGAGTTAAGGACATCTTTGGCGGCAAGCATACTTCGCCAGCCATAGGACGGCCGATTGGAGGTAGAAATTTGTTGATGATTGATAATCCATATTTTTGGTTTTTTTGAGTAGCGAGATCATGGAATGTGCAGAGTTACAGAAGGTCAGGTTTTGGAACCAGCTGATGCTGCTTCACATAGAACCCTGAGAGAGCCTAGAGTTGTTGTCCAAACAACGAGTGATGTTGATATTTTAGATGATGGATATCAGTGGCGTAAATATGGGAAAAAAGGTTGTCAATGTGATTGCTAATCAAAGGTAAATACACGAAAAATCGTTTATATTGGTGTATCAATTACACTCTTTAAATGGCGAAATCCGGTGGCTTTATGTCTCAAAACATTCTTGTTAATACTCTTTTTTTTTATCCTTAGACGCTACTTCAAGTGCATAAGTTATGGATGTAGAGCGAAGAAACGTGTAGAGAGAGCAGCAACAGATCCAAAAGTTGTGGTAACATCATATGACGGAAAACATAACCATGACCTTCTAGTAGCTAAATCAAGCATCCATGATACTGTCATCGCAGAAAATAGTGCGAACTTTGTAAGTTTTCCACCAAGGTCTTTAAAGAATGTGCAAGATGCTGAATTAAACATTGGTTGCCCAAGGTTTAACAGCTTATCTGTAGATGAAGCATTTACTGATACAAGTGCTTTCGTTCGGCCTGTAAACACATGTGTACCAATTTCCGCCTCTACAGACTATGATGTGGTAATCATGTATGAAAGAGGGGATATATGCAATGATGATTTCATAAGTCATCTTCGTGCTTCCCTCTGCAGGAGAGGGATTTCTGTCTATGAAGAATTTAATGTAGTGGATGCAGTTCCAGAATGTAATGTTTTGATCATAGTATTAACAAGTACATATGTCCCTTCAAATCTCTTAATCATTCTTGATCACCAACAGACAGATGATCGAGTGGTTTATCCGATCTTTTACAAACTTTCCCCATATGATTTTATCAGTAACAAAAAGAATTATGAAAGATTTTTCCTCCAGGACGAGCCTAGTAGGTGGCAGGCTGCTTTGGATGAACTAAGTCAGATGCCTGGCTACACATTGACAGATAAGTACGTGATCCATGGGTTCTAAATGTAGAAAGTCTATGATTTGGGAGAATTGGATGAATTTTTGTTTGGCATAAGAAGGCTATAGAACTTTAACACCCTTTTCTACTTTATTTGGCTACACACTTAACAGATAAGTACGTGATCCCTGATGTTTTTCTTATCTATTTTATTCTTAAAATATTTTGCAGGTCCGAATCTGAACTTATAGATGAGATTGTAAGAGACGTTTTAATGGTGCTATGTTCTAAGGATGAGGTGAACATGATAGGGATGGATATGCAAGTAGAGGAGATTTTGTCACTGCTATGCATTGAGTCCCTTGATGTTCGTAGCATTGGTATATGGGGAACGGTTGGTATAGGAAAAACAGCCATTGCTGAAGAGATCTTTCGCAAAATCTCAGTCCAATATGAGACTTGTATCTTCCTAAAGGATCTTCACGAAGAAGTTAAAGTAAAAGGTCATGATGCTGTGAGAGAAGAATTTTTGTCTAGAGTTTTGGAGGTAGAACCTCATGTTATTCGGTTTTCTGACATTAAAACAAGTTTCTTGAGGAGTAGGCTTCAGCGTAAAAGGGTTCTCGTTATTCTCGATGATGTGAATGATTACAGAGATGTTGAAACCTTTTTGGGTAAACTTACCTATTTTGGACCAGGAAGCAGAATTATTATAACCTCTAGGAACAGGCGTGTTTTCGTACTCTGTAAAATCGATCATGTCTATGAGGTCAAGCCACTAAATACTTCTAATTCTCTACTACTTCTCAATCGTGGGACACATAGTGTTTTGTTACCTGAGGTTTACAGTGCATTGTCACTTGAGCTGGTCAGATTTTCAAATGGAAATCCCCAGGTTCTTAATTTCTTGAGAAATAGAGAATGGCAGCGGTTATCACAACAAATTCAGAAAACCTCTCCCATTTACATTCCAGGTATATATGAAAGGAGTTGTTGTGGGCTTGATGACTATGAGAGGAGTATTTTCTTGGACATTGCATGTTTCTTTAGAAGGATGGATAAAGACAACGTTGCAATGTTGCTCGATGGTTGTGGTTTCTCTGCGCATGTTGGATTTGGAAACCTTGTTGATAAGTCCGTGTTAAGCATGTCTCACAACTTGGTAGACATGCACAGTTTTTTCCAAGCAACAGGTCGAGAAATCGTTCGTCAAGAATCACAGTGGCCAGAATATTGTAGTAGGTTGTGGAATCAGGAAGACATTGTAGATATAATCATACATGATAAAGTAAGTTATCTGGACAAACTTGGTATCCCTATGAAGGTCTGTACCGAATAAATTAATTCTCAGAGGCTGACTTATTTTCTCTTGATTTTCAGGGCACATCAGCTATTGAGGCCATTTTCTTGGACATGTCAAAGCTGAAATTTGATGCAAATCCCAATGTCTTCGAAAAAATGTGTAATCTCAGATTGTTGAAATTTTATTGCTCTGAAGTGATAGAGAACCGTGGTGTATTGTTACCGCAAGGTCTTGAATATTTGCCTAGCAGGCTAAGGCTTCTCCACTGGGAGTATTATCCTTTAAGCACCCTGCCAAGGAGTTTTGATCCAAGGAACCTTGTAGAGCTTAACTTGCCAAGTAGCTGTGCAAAGAAACTTTGGAAAGGAAAAAAGGCAATGTCCAAGATTTTGTACTTCCAATTCAGTATTAAAAATGATAAACCCAGAAATGCTGCTGATGTTTAATTTCTCTGTTTTTCAGTGTCTGGAAAAGCTTAAAAAGATACGACTCAGCTACTCTGACCAGTTAACAAAAATCCCAAGACTTTCAAGTGCGCCAAATCTTGAGCTTCTTGATCTCGAAGGTTGTAACAGCTTGGTGTGCATAAGCGAGTCCATATCTGATCTCAAAAAGCTTGTCTTTCTGAATCTAAAAGACTGTTCGAAGCTGGAGAGTGTTCCGTGTATGCTTGATTTAAAATCTCTTGAAGTTCTTAATCTTACAGGCTGCTCAAAGCTAGAGAATTTCCCGGAGATCTCACCAAATGTGAAAGAAGTGTGCATGGGTGGGACTATGATACAAGAAATCCCGTCATCGATTAAGAACTTGGCATTGCTTGAAAAACTGGACCTAGAAAACAATAGACACCTCAAGACTCTTCCAACCAGCATCTGCAAGTTAAAGCATCTTGAAACACTGAATCTGTCAGGCTGCACAAGCCTGGATCGGTTTCCGGATTTGTCGAGAAGGATGAAATGCTTAAGGTTTCTGGATTTAAGCAGGACATCAATTCGAGAGTTACCTTCCTCAGTGTCGTACCTGACTGCTCTTGAAGAACTGAGATTCGTGGACTGTAGGAACCTTGTAAGATTGCCTGATAATGCGTGGAGCCTAAGATTCAAGGTTGAGTTTCGCCAAATTGACACAGAGAAGTTTTCAAGACTATGGAATAAATTTGGATGGCTCAAAAAAGTTCAGATCTCATAGTTTCTACATCTCTTCTACTCCCTGGAATGGACACAATAAAGAGTGTTTTAACTGCCTCCTCCAATGTAAAAGTGCCATAGTCTGATTCTATATATGAATCCAGAGAGTTTGATATTCCATTATATGCACTGCAGAGAGTAGTTAACTAGTTATCTGGTAATGATATTGTTCAAAATCTTTATATGTTACTTTTTGTTCTTAGTATTTTATTAAGTGAGAGATTATTAAAAGATTTAGTGCTACAGTCTGAATGCTCATGTGCTGATGTGCACTTGTTTCTTGTTTTACTGAAGATGCAGGTTTCGTCTGGTGTGGCACTGCCAGTTTCAAATTTGTCTGTTCTGATCTGTTTAATTATGTCACTGCTACATTTAGAATCAAATCATTTAAATCTTTTCAAGCAATTATTTCAGACGAGAGCTTTAGAGACGATAGGTTGGTGTGGCGTTGGCACGTGCGTATCGTGTCAAATGTATCAATAATTTACAAACCTAAATGCAACGTTCCTTTTGGTTAGGTTGGTAATATAGTACTTCGTTCTTAACGAAAAAACATATAACGCTGCGTTTTGTTTCCACGTCTCTCTCTCTCTCTCTCCCAAGTCTCAACTCTCAAGCAAGATTCAAGATCCTTCTCGTTGATAAGAATGGGTGTGATCTCTCCAGTTGAGACTCTGTTCTTAAAGTCTCAACATCGTCTTCTTCTTCTTCAACCTCGAGACTATTCTCACCCATTGGTTTTGCACAACACTCGACGACATTTTGCTAATTTCCCACGTAACAACAGCTTCTCATCCTCTTCTCTAGGTTTCACTTTCTTCCTCCTCTGTTTATGTATCCGTTTCTTTAGTCTTTAATTCTTGTTTTTTGATGATTTGAGTTCTCTTTGCAGGATCATGCTCTGTAGATTTTCCAGTACGAAGTAACCCGATTTCACAAAGTAAGTTCTCAGCTTTTTAAACTCTGTGTCTTTTTAGGGTTTGAAGCAATTCAGTTTTTGTAAATGTGTGTTCTAGGATGCAAAGATGGCAATTCAAGTTATCCTTGGAGGAGATATGTTTCGGAATCTGACACAAACGAGGTAAAAACAAAAAAAAACACAAATCAACAAAATATATTTTTTCGCTTTCTTGGCAAGTAACAGCTCTGTTTTTGTTTCAGATGTACCATAAGAAGGTTTCTATCATGGAAACATTAAAACAAGCCAACTCTTTTATTCCTCATGCAATTCTCTCAAGTACAATCTTAGCTCTTCTTTATCCACCTTCTTTCACATGGTTCAAGCCAAGGTTTGGATCAACCTAACAAAATCTTTGACTTAAACTTTACTTAGACATCAAGAATCTCTAATTAATATTGCTGCTTCTTTAGGTACTTTGTCCCTGGCTTAGGGTTCATGATGTTTGCTGTTGGAATCAACTCGAACGAAAGAGACTTCCTCGAAGCACTTAAAAGACCAGACGCTATTTTCGCCGGTTACATCGGACAGTACTTGATAAAACCTCTCTTAGGTTACCTTTTCGGCGTAATTTCTGTCTCTCTTTTTAACCTACCTACTTCTATAGGAGCTGGAATCATGTTGGTCTCATGTGTCAGTGGAGCTCAGCTTTCGAATTACACAACTTTCTTGACTGATCCTTCACTCGCTCCGCTTAGCATCGTCATGACATCTGTCTCAACCGCTACCGCAGCCCTCGTTACACCCATGCTTTCACTCTTACTCATTGGTAAAAAGCTTCCCGTTGATGTGGTTGGCATGATCTCTAGCATTCTTCAGGTTGTTGTTACACCTATTGCAGCAGGACTACTTCTAAACCGGTGAGACATCAATCTCAATAATCAAATAGAAATGTTGGTTTGTAAACAATATTACTAACATAGAAATGTGACTACAGGTTATTTCCAAGGTTGTCTAATGCAATCAAACCCTTTCTCCCGGCGTTAACAGTTATCGATATGGGTTGTTGCATAGGAGCACCACTAGCTTTGAACATAGACTCAATCTTGTCTCCGTTTGGTGCAACCATTTTGTTCCTCGTCATAACGTTTCATCTCTTGGCTTTCGTTGCTGGTTACTTTTTCACTGGTTTCTTCTTTAGCAAGGCACCTGATGTAAAAGCTCTACAAAGAACGATTTCATACGAAACAGGAATGCAAAGTAGTCTTCTCGCTCTGGCCCTCGCGACAAAGTTTTTTCAAGATCCTCTCGTTGGAGTTCCTCCAGCTATCTCTGTGAGTTCAAAACCTACCTCGTTCTAATGCATCTATTTGGTTTTTAGTTCTTTAATTGAAAGTTTTGGTTTCTTTTTCTGCAGACGGTAGTTATGTCTCTAATGGGTGTCTCGCTTGTTACCATATGGAAAAACAGAAAGGAGTAGTGACACGATCTAGTGTTTCTGTAATGACTCTAGTTATGGTTTCTTCTTATAAAGGAACCAAGACTTTACTTATAAAAGATTTAAAATGGTTTCAATTGTTTTGTTGTTGTTTTATGATACAAAAGTAGGTTGTAGTAAAACCAAAACAGAGTTAATAAACCAGAGAACAATATAATCTTTTTTTACTCTTTCATGTGTAAGAGTTGTGATATAAGGGTTATGATATTCATGGGAACCAATGTATCAAGAATACGATTGTGTTTATGCGAAAATGGATATTTGAATGTGCCATTAGTTTTGACTAAATGTTATAGATCCATATATCTATATATTGAGAGTACAAGAGAGCATAATGTATCTTCTAGATAATCTCTGGAGAAGTCTAGGAATGATTCTATATTCTTATTCTCTTCTGAGCATCTTCCTTTCTTCGTAGTATTCAAAAGTTTTCTTTGAGGTCTTTATTAGGTTACCTCATGGTCCTTTGCTTAATCATGAAAAGATAAATTCTTTGGCTATATTTGAATGTTAACCATAGAAAGATTCTATGCGTTTGGGTTTACCAATGAAAATGAAAGGTCATCAAGTACAACTTAAACTATTACGCTTTTAGTTAACTTCTGTGTGTTCTGACTTCATCACTGGTTCTAGTTACTAAGTACTTATAGTAGCTAAAATCAGAAGCGATACGACTAAACTTTTTTTTGGGGGCTCTATGTAATCATCACTTTAACATTTTGGTCAGAAAGGCAGGACTTGACTTCATGGAAAAGAAACAGCAAGACGTTTAGTTATTGAAAGTCAAAACAGCATGATTTCTTGACCATTAAAGGATGGGTAGGGTTCGTAAGGGGATGTGTACTGTAAGCCACCACTCCACTTATATATTGAAGGTCTCATGATTGATGATTCTTCCATTTGAAAGCTACCATAACTCAAATAATATAAATGGAAAAAGGGTTATCTAATCACATATATGGTTATGGTGGAAGATGATCTAAGCATTATCTATAGAGATTATTTTTGCTTAAAAGAAATGTCATGTCTGATACTCTGATTACATCAAATTATTTGTATATTTTGTTTCAACTATAGTATTGCCTCAGCTGTTTTGGTAGAGTATCTTTCCATGTATGTGATTTAAAAAAAAATACAAAAAGAGAGTGTTATTCACATTCTTAAGAAAAACAAGTTTGTGTTTAGACCAAAAAAAGTTAATACAACCCGTAATCTTAAAGACATACTATTTGCAACATTAATCTCTTTAATTATTGTTTCAATCTGAACTGAACCCGACTCAACCGAACCAAATCCAAAAATCTGAACCGAATCCAAAAATGATGTCTAACCGGATTCTAACTCCTAAACCAGAAGAACTATTGGATTGCAGAGATTAAAATGACGTTATTAACCTCTACGATTGTTACTTATTACGAAAATGCCATTACCTCCAAATAAGCCGTTCGATGATAAAAGAAGTAAACGTCACAGAAGCGTCGGTCGTAAACAGATCCAACGGCTCAAAACAATTCAAAAGCACGCCAACACTGACGACTTAAACCGGAAAAAGAAAAGAAAACCGCGTCTGGGTCGTCGTCTTCGTAAACCAAAAAAAAAAACCATTTAATTATTATATAATTGAGAGTATTATATAACAAAGCCTCATTTCTCTCATCAACCATTGTTGCGTGTTTGGTTATCTCTCTTGTCTCCTTCTCTCTTTCTTCTTCTCTCTTTACCTAAATCAAGGGATTTGTTCTGATCAAAAAAAACTTTTTTTGAACAGAATTAAAACAACAAATCCCTAGAAAAATCTTCTTCTTCTTCTTCTTTTCACCCTTTTATACGAAACCGATCTGTGACAATTTTCATTTTTTGGAGGAGAAGAAGCTTTTTTGCATAATTGGTGGCAACAATACAAATCTCATTTGATCTGACTTTTTCTGGTAATTTGAAATTTTTTTTTCTCTTAATTCTATTTCATATGATTTGTTTGTGTTTTTTTTTACAGATCTGAACATTTTATTGTGGAAACAAATTATCTGGGTCATTTCTTAATGATTAAGTCCGTGTAATTTGAAAATTTGTGATTTGGGTGATAGATCTTATCCAAGCTGGGTTTAAATCGAATTGAATTGGTTTTGATTATGTAGAAGCTGGGTTCAATCGAATTGAATTAATTTTGATTGTATTGAAGACTGGGTTGATTCGAATTGAATGATAATATTGAAGCTGGTTTATATTGAATTGAATCTTATCTTGTTATGAATCTGTGATAACCTTAAAAAAATGATTCTTCTGTTGTCAGATGTTGAATGGTTTTTTGTTTTTGTTTTTGTGTTTGTTTAGTTGAAGGTGAAAGACATCTGAGAAATGGGCTCTGAGCAGAACAACAGCACAAGCTTTCCACCAACAGAGCCGAAGCTCTGCGATAACGGATGCGGGTTCTTCGGTTCACCGTCGAACATGAATCTTTGCTCGAAATGTTACAGAAGCCTAAGAGCCGAGGAAGATCAAACCGCGGTAGCGAAAGCTGCGGTTAAGAACTCTTTAAAGCTTCCGTCTTGCAGTATTATTGCACCGGAACAAAAGCAGCCTCTGGAACTTAAACCAGCGCCTGTGGAAACCGTTGTTGTAGCCGCTGAGCCGTCTTCTGTACCTGTTGTAGCCAACGCGGAACAGGACGAGGCAGAGCCGTCGAGACCTGCGCGACCGAACAGGTGTTTCAGCTGTAACAAGAAGGTTGGGGTATTGGGGTTTAAGTGCAAATGCGGTAGCACGTTTTGCGGGAATCACAGGTACCCCGAGAAGCACGAATGCAGCTTCGATTTCAAAGAGGTTGGACGTGACGCAATCGCAAAGGCGAACCCGGTGATTAAGGCGGATAAAGTCCAGAGGATTTGAAAAACAAAAAAAAAAAAAAACACTTTGTTCTTTTCTGCTCTTAAGTATTTCTTTGTCTTCTGCATTTGATCAGTTTCTCCCGGGAATGTTAATGTTGATGTGATCATGTTCGATGTTTGGTTTCCATGAATCAAAAATGAAAATTGCTGCTCTTGGTTTCCTCTTAAAAATGGAGTCTCTTTGCTCTTGTAAAACTAGACAAAACATGAGATTTGAATCTACTTGCTTTTCTTCTTGGTTCTGTTTTGATTCAACGAAGAGACTGAACATACAACAACATAGTGTGCCTTTGTTAGTATCATAAGAAAATGTGCATAAAATGGTGGGTCTCGATCAATTTGATGTGGTGTGTCGTCGGGTCATCAGATAACACCTGTGACTGTGTTTGAAAAAGACAATTACACGATAATACATGGAACTTGTAGATAAGGTTCTTAGATTAAATTTCATTTTGTTGGCAACTTGACATACACACACTGAAACACAAACAGAAAAAAACAACATACACTGATAAGAAAAAACGGGGCCCAATATGGGCCTCAATGGTGTTAAGTGGGCTCTGAAACTGGCTTCAGATGAATTACGTTGGAAATATATCATTCACAAACATATGGCTTGTCATACAATTAATCGAGATTGTGTCTAATCTATAGTATATATAACTTTACGAATATTGCATATGATCTATTTTCATATTTTAAATGACATTTTTATCGATATTAAAAAAAGAAGAAATTGTTTATTTAATATTATTGTATATTTGAAGATCTATATTTCACAATTTATTTGAAAGATGTTTTTCTCTTTTTAATTCAAAAATAAAAATAAAATCTAATTGTGGCTCAATCTAAACAAATCTAAACGAATCTCACATTACTAGATTAGGCTCAATCTAAACAAAATTAAATGAAGAGTGATCGGACGGTTATAATCATTCAGTTCATGTTTTCACTAATAATCGGACGGCTGAGATTATTTTAATTTCAAAGACATTTAATGAAGATTTTGTGACCGTTTCGAAAGATTTCCTCCAGCGTATAAAGTAAATTCAAACCATACTTGAGAATCGATAAATCTCTCTCTATTTTTCACTCTCTCTCAAATTTTCTTCTTTTGATCATAGGCTAGGGTTAGGGTTACGAGAGAAACAAATCAAATTCTCATATTTATATTTTCTTCAATCCTCGTCGTCTCGTTAGTTTCTAATTCTAGTTTCTTCCAATGGATCCGTCTCAGTTCTCATTCGCACAAATCACCAAAAAAAAATCAAAGAAGGTAACAAACCGAAGCTTGGGTCTCTTTTCGATTTCTATCAATTTCGTCTTCTTCCTTTGTTAATTTGATTTTATATAACTAATGAAGGTTTACCATAAAGTTTTGACACTGTTGCAAAATTATATAAAGTTTTTCGGAGGTTTTGAGTGGTTCGTATGATCATATCACTTTGGTGTGAGATTAATTGTTTCCGGTGAGGCAGAATTGTGAAATATAATTTGAATTGTAATTTGTGTTGTTTTCTTTGATTGTGAAATATAATTTTTGAAGGGTTTAATCATCTTTCACGGTGAAGGAAAAGGTCTTTCTCATGGAAGACAAGATTATGTTATGAGATGAGTTTCGTTTCGTTTCTCTCTGCATCCCTTTTGATCCAGGTTTCGTTTTGATCTTTCTCATATATTTGTCTTTGTGCTTATATATATGGTGATGAACCTCTGCTTTTTTTTGTTGTTGTTGTATTTAGTATCCATGGTTTTAGAATCAATGCAACATTGATATATTCATGTGCGCATACATGTATTTGTACATTCATGCGTATTTTATTTTCTTGACTTATTGCTTAGTTACATTTGTTAGCTTGTTCTTGTTTGTTTCTTTGGCTTTTTAACACACTTAGTTTGTTCTGTGCTTCTTTGTTTTTTCTTTTTTTTTTCGTCATTGTTTTCTAAGACAAGATTATCTATGAGATGAGTTTCTTTTGGTTTCGTTTCTCTCTGCATCCCTTTTGATCCAGGTTCCGATTCAGATATTTGTCTTTGTGCTAATGTATATTCATACGTTATACATTCATGCGTATTTGATTTTCTTGATTTATTGCAAAGGTCGTTGCTTGGTTCTTTACTTCTTTAGTTACATTGTTAGTTTGTTCTTGTTTGTTTCTTTGGCTTGTTTTGTTTCATTTCTTAACTTTCTTGCTTGTTTCTTTTACTGATTCCTTACATGTTTTAACTTGTTTAGTTTATTCCATGTGTTGTTTCTTTGGTTATATGATCGTTGCTTACTCAATTTCTTAACTTGTTTGCTTCTTGGTTCTTTGATTTACTTCATTGCACATCCTTCTTTGTTTCTTGCTTGCTTGCTTACTTAACTGATTCAGTCATTATTGCTTAACACATTTAGTTTGTTCTGTGTTTCTTTGTTTTTTTTTATTTTCGTCATTGTTTTCTTACATGAACTTATCTACTTGTTTATTGTTTGCTTACTTTTTATTTGTTTACTCGCTTACTTATTTTTGGCTTTCTTTACTTCTTTCATTGCTTGCTTCTACGTTTATATATACATATAATGTTTACTTTTTAATGTAATTTTTAACGTCTCTGTTTCTCGTGCATTAAGTTGAATTTCTCTGTTGTTAGCTTTGCTACTTTTTTTTTTTAATGTCTCAGGGTCTCTTTTTCTTTGTTTGGTATCCGTTATTGAGTGTTTGTTTCACTTAGAATAATGAATGTATTGGTGTTTGAATTCAGAGTGCAGGTTTTGGTTGGTTAGAATTTTGGCTTCTGTGAAGTTAAACTTTCTTTATATCCACAGATCCCCTGATTTGTAGGATATATGTAGTTACAAAGTGAAGCTAAAATGTGAAACTGCGGGACTTATTACATCCAAGGTGTTGTGACTTGTGATGTTTGCTATGGTTTATGAGATGATTTTATTGTCTCAATATTTTTTCCAATCAATTTGCAGTCACTCTCATAGCAAAAGTTGGAATCGTTCTTGATTTAACTACTTGCTCTGGGTTTTGGTAAGAACACACAGCTAACAGTAAGTGATTCTTTTTGTTGAGCTCCATATATACCACTCATTATAAGATTTTATCTCAGAATTCTGATTTTTGTATTATTTCTTTCTTGTTTTGTATTGTGCATCTTTGTTATTCTGTTGGTTTACAAGAGGTATCTTACTCATCTTTGGTTTGTGCTTTTGTGCTTGGTACTGAGGGTTTTTCCATTATGTTGGTTTACAAGAAGGAATATTACGATAGAGAGAGGTAAAAAACTTTGGTAATCATCGTTTCTTGAGATATATCAAATTCGTTTTCCTTCTCCTTCTGATTTTGGTATATTTCCTTTCTTGTTCTTAAATTAGGTAAGAAATGGAGTCAACAATTGGCAATCCTCGTCTACTTTAGTGTAAATATAATGGTACACAAATGGAGTTCCTATATAATGGTAGACAACTTGTGTTTTCTAAGCTCAGTTTGCTTCTAATTCCTTATCCGATTCTGTTTTGTCTTTTGTTTGTTACTGAGGACTTTGTTCTTCGACTGGTCTACAAGAGGAAAATTTGCTATAAAAACCTTAAAAGGTTAGAAATATTGGCAATCCCACTCTGAAATTCGGTTTCGTTATCTCGCTTTTTTCCTTTATTGTGTTGTGTTGAGTGTATTGTTCTTCCATTGGATTATGAGAGGGCACTCAAGCTTTTAAAGATAAGAAATTGAATCAAGAATTGGCACTACTGGTTTATTTCTACTAGAAATTCAATTTTCATTCTAATTTTGGTTTGGCTTTCTTTGTTCAGTGTCGGTATTGAAGGTTTGGTTCACTTGGAAGATGCTTCTCTGAGGTATGTGATTAGTGACTGTTAATGTATGGTTATATCTTAATTTTCTCATGGTTCTTTCGATTTTAAAAGGAAGTGTTCACTAAAATACATTACTAAGACTCTTTTTGCAGTAGCAGTTTTCATAGAGTTTTTGTATAATGGTTAGATATACAAGTTGGTTTTTTGGATTCAACACATGAAACCAATTTTGTGAGATTTTACTCGAACATTTGGTTTTTGAAGGACAATGTTATATTCAAGAGATGTGATGCTTGTTACAATTCTCTCAATTGGTGAGATTAATCGTTTTCAGTGAGACAAAATTGCTTATACTAATTGTTAATTATGTAATACTTTGGAATAATTAACGCCTTAATATCTGAATTATGTATGCAGGTTTTGAATGGTTAGAGGAGACTAAAAGGTAACTGGTGTCATGATATGTCATTAGAATCCGATGCTTCTTTGAGGTATGTCTATAGATTTATAGTTAAAATCAGTCATGACTGAGGTTTTGTTAATTGGTCTTATTGCTATGTTTTTGCTTTGCATGGACCCCAGGTATAGAATACTAGAATAATTTAAGTTTTAAGATTAAATTGCCTCTCCAAAACCTAATGGCTATCAGAGAGCCTTCATACTACTGTGTTTCGACATCATCATTCCGATTTTATGTTTTCTTTGTCATTCTTGTTAGGTACTGAGCATTCTTTGTTATTCCATTGGTTTACAAGAGGGTACTTTACTATAAACAGTAAGTGCTTCAGCTTAATATATACCACTCATCATATTAATTTGTCTTCCTCATCATTCTGATTTTTGTTTTTGCCTTTTCTGTTTAGTACTGAGAGATTTGTTCTGCGGTTGCTTTACAAGAGGGAACATTACAATAAGAAAGGTATGAAATATTGGTAATCCTCGTCTCTTAATATCTATCAAATTGTCTACATATATCCTGTCATATCTCTGTAACAGTATAAATAATTGTCTCTTTTTCTTTGTTTGGTATCGACATTGAGGGTTTGGTTCACTAGGAAGAAGTAATGCTTTGGTGTTTGAATTCAGAGTGCAGGCTTAGAGTGGTTAGAATTCGATTCTTCTGTTAGGTATGTCATTAGTAACTTTTACTGTTAAACACTTAAACCTTATTTGTATCCACAGATACATCATTGAATCCCTGATTTGTAGAATGTAGTTCAAGAATTGATTGAAGAACTTGCATCTCCAAATAATACGAGCAGAAAGATGGTCATGAACCGTGCTAAGCCTCTGTATACCACTGGTAAGTTATCATTTTTATAAGAAATCTCTTACATATAATTATTAGTTTTGTAATGTCTTTATGGATAGGTGCTCTTCATTGAGATATATGCACAAATACGTCAATGAATCCCCTGATTTGTGTAATATACAGCTACAAAGAGAAGCCAAGAACCGGAGCAAGAAAACCAATTTTTAGGAAGCCCAATTCCAATCAAAGAGAGACCTTATATAGTATACGTTGTAAGTTTGTGTTGTCTCATATATGTTGTGTACATCTCATACACTGTTATGCTTATCTCAGGTCTATCGCAATGGAGCACTAAAAATGGTCATGCGTCATCTTTTGGTTTCTTTAAGTTAAGTCCATCTCCCAGGTATGTTTTTCCAACCTCTTTAAACCGATCAAGCACCATTTGGCTCGTATCACTTTTCACAATTTGTTTTTTGTTTATGTTGCAGCCATTCAAGTTCAAAGTCAAGATCTGGTTAGACCAATGAAAATTCTTTTAAAATAAAAAAATTTCACACGAAGTAATCTCTTGTTTGTTTATTTAGCTGCAGAAGTGAGAATATTTACTTATAATTTGTTGTTTTCGTTCATGTGTGCATACATACATGCATTCATGTATACATTCTTGAATCTCTCTCCATTATACATACTTGCATTCATGTGTACAATCCATACATGCATACATTATACATTCATGTGTGCATATATTCATACATTCATGCGTATTTGCTTTCTTGATTTATTGCTTCGGTCATTGGTTGCTTTTTTAGTTACTATGTTAACTTGTTTTTGCTTTGTCTTTTACTCTTTTCCTTGTTTCATTTTTTAACTTGCTTGTATCTTTTACTGATTGCTTACCTGTTTTGTGTTACTTTATTCCATGTTTTATTTTATGATCATTGCTGCTTAACTTGTTTGCTTCTTGGTTCTTTGATTTACTTCATTGTACAGCCTTCTTTGTTTCATTGCTTGCTTCTTTAGTTACATTGTTTCATTGCTTGCTTCTTTAGTTACATTGTTAGCTTGTTCTAATGTTCTTGTTTGTTTCTTTGGCTTAGTTCATTTCTTCTTAGCTTTCTTGCTTTTTTCTTTACTGATTGCTTACATGTTTTTAATAATGTCAAAAACTATTGCATGTTTGTTTCCTTGATTATATGATCGTTGCCTGCCCAATTGGTTAACTTCCGTCATTGTTTTTTTTTTCTACATAAAATAAACTTTTCTGCCTGTTTTATTGTTTGCTTACAGTTTTAATTTGTTTACTCGCTTACTTCTTTTGCTTTATAAACTTCATTCATTGCTACGTATGTTTTGTATATACATATGTTTTGCTTCTTGGTTCTTTGATTTACTTCATTGCATATAATGTTTACTTTTTTAGTGTAATTTTTTACGTTGTCTGTTTCTCGTGCATTAAGTTGAAATTCTCTGTTGTTGGCTTGGCTACCTTTATTTTTCTGTCTCAGCGTCTCTTTTTTTTGTTTGGTATCCGATATTGAGTGTTTTGCTTACTTGAAGAAGTATTGAGGGTTTGGTTCACCTGGAAGAATCAATGTTTTGGTGTTTGAATTCAGAGTGCAGGCTTTGGAGTAGTTAGAATTTGATTCTTCTTCTTCCATTAGGTTATGAGAGGACACTCAAGCTTTTAAAGATAAGAAATAGAGTCAACAGTTGGCGTACACATCTTTTGATTTTCTAAACTCAGTTTGCTTCTTCCTTATCCATTTCGTAGTCAAAATTTCTTAAACAGGCCGCAGCAGAGGTTAGAACTGAATACGCAGGACTTCTTTCATGGGGTTTTTGTTAAAGTATGCAGGTAACAGTACGTGTTTCTTTTTTTTGTGATCAATATACTCCAGTCATCGTAATAATTCTTCTGATTTTTGGTTTTTACATTTCGTGTTTGGTTCTGGAGGGTTTTGTTCTTCGGTTGGTTAACAAGTTTACCATAAACAGTAAGTGTTTCTTTCTCTCGAGCTCAATATATATACCACTCATTATAATAATTCGTCTTCCTCATCATTCTGTTTTGTCTTTTGTTTGGTACTGAGGATTTTGTTCTTTGGCAAGTCTACAAGAGGGAACTTTGCTATAAACACTTAGAAAGGTTAGAAATATTGGCAAGCCCCCTCTCTAATTCGGTTTCGTTATCTCGATTTCTTTCTTTCTTTTGTTGTGTTGAGGGTATTGTTCTTCCATTGGGTTATGAGAGGTACTCAAGCTTTTAAAGATAAGACATTGAGTCTAGAATTTGAACTATTAGTTTAATTCTACTGGAATTCAATCATCGTTCTAATTTTGGTTTGGCTTTCTTTGTTCAGGATGGTATTGAAGGTTTGGTTCACTTGGAAAATTAACGAATTGGTGTTTGAATTAAAAGTGCAGGTCTTGAGTGGTTAAAATTTGATGTTTCTCTGAGGTATGTCATTAGTTACTGATAGTGTTTGGTAATATCTTAATTTTATCATGGTTCATTCGATTTTGAAAGGAAGTGTTCGCTAAAATACATTTGGTTTTTTTTATTCTACTCAGGAAACCAATCTTGTGAGATTTTACTCGAGCATTTGGCTTTTGAAGTACAATGTTATATTCAAGAGATGTGATGCACTCTGAACAAATTGTCTACATATGTCATGCACTCTGAATATTATATATGCGTAACAGTATAACTAGCTGTCTTTTTGTCTTTGTTCGGTATCGGTATTGAGGGTTTGGTTCGCTTGGAAGAAGTAATGTTTTGGTGTTTGAATTCAGAGTGCAGGCTTTGAGTGGTTCGAATTTGATGCTTCTGATAGTTATGTTAAACCTTATTCTATCCACAGATACATAATGAATCCCCTGATTTGTATTATGTAGTTCAAGAATTGATTGAAGAACTTGCATCTCCGAATAATACGAGCAGAACGATGGCCATGAACTATGCTAAGCCTCTGTATACCACTTGTAAGTTATCATTTTCTTAAGGAATTTCTATACATAGAATTTTTAGTTTCTTAATGTCTGTATGGATAGGTGCTCTGCATTGAGATATATGCACATATACATCAATGAATCCCCTTATTTGTGTAATATACAGCTACAAAGAGAAGCCAAGAACCGGAGCAAGAAAACCAATTTGTAGGAAGCCTAATTCAAATCAAATAGAGACCTTATATAGTATACGTTGTAAGTTTGTGTTGTCTGTCTCATATAATGTTGTGTACATCTCATACATTGTTATGCTTATCTCAGGTCTATCGCAATGGAGCTCTAAGATGGTCATGCGTCATCTTCTGGTTTCCTAAGTTGAGTCCGTCTCCAAAGAATGTTTTTCCAACCTCTTTTAACCGATCAAGCACCATTTGGCTCGTATCACTTTTCACACTTTATAAATAAAAGGCTCTTGTTCCTAATCAGGTCAGATCATTGAGATTTTTCCGTCTCAATTCAATTAATATATATGAATTTTTCAACAGGGAAGAGCCAATACCAATCTGCCAAAGGAGAAAGGAGATACAACAATACACATCTTCCACACCCAGCTTGGAGAGTGTATGATATTGGTTGATGTATTGAATCTCCGTCCATTCATGTGTGCATACATACATGCATTCATGTATACATTCTCGAATCTCTCTCCATTCATGTGTGCAAACATACTTGCATTCATGTGTATTCATACATTATACATTCATGTGTGCATATATTCATACATTCATACATTCATGCGTATTATTGCTTTTTTGATTTGTTGGATAGGTCATTGCTTGCTCCTTTAGTTACATGTTAACTTTCTTTTTGTTTGTCTCTTTACTCTTTTGCTTGTTTCATTTCTTAACTTGCTTGTTTCTTTTTCTGATTGCTTACATGTTTTTGTGTTACTTTATTCCATTTTTTTCTTATATGATCGCTGCTGCTTAACTTGTTTGCTTCTTGGTTCTTTGATTTACTTCATTGTACAGCCTTCTTTGTTTCATTGCTTGCTTCTTTAGTTTCGTTGTTAGCTTGTTCTAATGTTCTTGTTTGTTTCTTTGGCTTAGTTCATTTCTTAGCTTTCTTGCTTTTTTCTTTACTGATTGCTTACATGTTTTTAATATTGTCAAAAACTATTGCATGTTTGTTTCTTAGATTATATGATCGTTGCCTACCCAATTGGTTAACTTGCTTCCTTATTGGTTCTTTGATTTTACTTTATTGAAGAGCCTTATTTGTTTCTTACTTAGTTTATTCTTTGATACTCTGCTTACTTACTTTTACTTCCGTCATAGTTTTTTTTTTCTACATAAAATAAACTTCTCTGCTTGTTTTATTGTTTGCTTACAGTTTTAATTTGTTTACTCGCTTACTTCTTTTGCTTTCTAAACTTCATTCATTGCTATGTATGTTTTGTATACACATTGCTTCATTCATGGAAACAAATCAAATAATTAGTTTTTGTTTTCTTGCATAGTATGATGCAAAAAATGTGAAATCGAAGTTAAAAATTGATTCTCATGTCAAAACTAATATATATGTTGCAAAATGTTTTGGTATTTACGACATTATGACTTTCGGTATTTACAATTCACACCAGATTTATCGGTGTTTTACAAATTTACCTCAGAATTTTTGCATTCACGATTTAATATTTTGATTCTAACACAAATTTATTGGTTTTTACAAAACTACCTCAGAATTTTGACATTTTTAAAACCACCCCAAGTTATTATATATTATTGTGTTGACCCATATCTTTAGGTATTTACGAAAGTACCCCAGATCTTTTGGTATTTACGAAAGTACCCCATATCTTTTGGTATTTACGACATTACCCCAAATCTTTTGGTATTTACGAAAGTACCCCAGATCTTTTGGTATTTACGACATTACCCCATAAATTTTAGTATTTGCGAAATGGCCCATATCTTTGGGTATTTACAAAATGGCCCCATATATGTTATTATTTACGAAAGTACCCCATATATTTTGGTATTTACGAAGTACCCCAAATCTTTTGGTATTTACGAAATGACCCCAAATCTTTTGGTATTTACGAAATGATCCCAGATCTTTTGGTATTTACGAAATGATCCCAGATCTTTTGGTATTTACGAAATGACCCAGATCTTTTGGTATTTATGAAAGCACACCAGATCTTTTGGTAATTGTGAAATCACCTTAAAACTCTCGATATTTATGAAATCACTTTCGATATTTACAAATTATTCGATAACTTTCTAAGTTTACAAAACAACTTCATATATATCTTTCGTAAAAGAATATGAGCACCGAATCTTACAGAGATAAGATGAGCATGCCACGGGCATGAATGAATACGGCATTCATTAGACTATTGAGTAAGAGTATGAGATGACTTGTTTTGGGAAAAATAACAATATTATTTACATTTCATATACACATGCAAGCAAGTAACCAAGAAGATGATCTATAGGTTTTTGACAATTTAGCGCACACACATACACACAAAAATAGTGGATAAAAGGATATGAGCATTACAGAGCTATATAACATGGAGAGATTCTAGTGAGTGAGCTCTGAAAAATAACATTTTATTGACAATTGGTTTATCATACATACAAGTAATCAGAATATCAAATGGTTGAGATCACCAATTGAATTCAAACACAGTTGATAATGAGTCAAGTTTTAAACATAGTTAGGTATTACGACCATTATAATTCTTTTTTTTCATGTTAGGATCCAAACCTATATGTTAATATTTTAATAAATGATTTGGATCTATGACTTTAGATCATCGTAATTTTGTTTTTTCTGTTTGCTTCGTTCCCAACCTATATTAGATCAAACCATACATGTATTAGAAATTCACATTAAGTGACATCACGGTCCAAAGTCCCATCATTAAATTTAAAAATAAGTTCACAACCCAAATGATAGATCTATATAGCTCAAGAAATTAGATTTTACGAACGTTGTAGCTTCCATGCATGACACAAATCAAGTATGTGCATGATGCTAAACGTGCTAAGTAGAAAATACGAACAGTAAAATGGCTATTATAATCAAGAGACCTCAATCATGGTTATGATCTTTTCAAATGTCGTCCATTATTTAAATTTAAAATAAATAGTTTTATGGTGTTGAAATAAGAAACAGATGTCTTGTCGAATGTATCAAGCACTAAATTTTATTATGGATCAAAATTTCAAACACTAAATAAATGCCTCCTTTTAACGATAATTAAAAATCACAAGTGAGAGACCAGTCTTTTCTTTTTCTATTTTTGGATGCGTCCTAGAATTTGTTTATTGCATATATTGATAAATTAAACTTTAGATATTCCAAACTTAAAAATGACATTCGTATCAAGAAAAGATTGGACCCAATCTCACAAAAACACACTTTAGTTATGACTTCACAATATATATGCAACTACCCCTAGCTCCTTAGACAACATATATCCTCATCTCCTGATATCTATAAATACACATATTTCCACGTAAAATTTGCATAACTTGTCTTTTGTTTTATGATAAAACTTTTATCCTGATAAATGAAGTTACTTAAGACTTATATACTGTTAATTAGAAAATATGAACAATATTTTAACTTGAAAATGGGAGAAGATCTAAGACCTTCTATGAAAATACCATAAGACAATGATAGTTAATGGACTAAATCAGAGCCAGAAATACTTTAAATTTGGATAAGTAATTCTTTGTAAACAAGGAAAAAAACAAACCGAACATAATTAAGAATCAAATTCATCAAAGAAATCTCAATAAAAAAAAAAAAGAGAAACAACTTAAACCTCACATAATCAAACATTAATAATAAGAAAAAGATCTACCACTAATTAAAATGAACCAAAGAAAATAAAAACAAAGAAAGAACCTGAAACATCTACTGAATTGTTGATCCACACACCCATCCGAAAGGCTTCTTCATCTTCTCATCATACTTCGTACAACCTCCTCTTTAATCATATTCCATGTTAGCTTGCTTTTATATATATGTAAGATCTATTAGTAAATAGCTACATATATATAATTACATAGCTACATATATATTCAATTCCATGTGTAATATATATATATATAAAACAATAACAATCTAATCAATACGGTGGCCGACCCGTAGACCAATACTGCTGATCATTCTGTTGTTGCGGCGGCAACTGAACCGAACCAAGAAGATTCGGTGGTAGCCCTTGAGCCGCCGCCATTGCTGCCATAGCTTGTTGCTGCCCCATCATCGGTGGAGATCCCATTCCACCACTACCTCCTCCTCCTCCTCCTCCTCCTCCTCCACCTCCTCCCTGAACAGGTGTTTGCATCTCATCTTCTTCCAAAGGCAGCCTCTCGTAAGCCGCATTGCTAAAAGACGCGGCCATAACCACCACAGGACCTGAACACAACAAAGGTCCTACTACACTACCTCCAACGACCTGCCCTTGTCCTCCGGCTAGGTAAACACTTAGTCCCGTGGCTGCAGGAGGGGCAGGCGGCGGCAAGAAAGATCCGGAAAGAGAAAGGATTTCAAATCGGCCGTGGAGGCTAACCACCGAGCCAGCTGGTGACCCGGGCTGACGTATAGTGACGTTATTAACGTTTCCTGTACCGCTCATAACGCAAACGCCTCTTTGACGGCGTCTAGCGAACGTAGCCATACAGTCAACTATGTCACATCCATCTCCAATCTCCATGACATGAGTTCGAAGCGCGTTTGCGCTGTCTCTTGTAATAATTATTGGAGCTTTAGGTTTGTTCTTGGATCCAGCTGGTCTTCCTCTTGGTCTTCTTGTCATCTGTTCTCCGCTTCCTCCACCACCGCTTCCTCCTTCTCCGCCGTGTAAACTCATCTCTTTACCTTCGCTACCACTGTTGTTGTTTCCCATGTTGTCCATGTTGTCGCTTGTCTCTTCACGATCCATCTTTATAGATCGATTCATTAGTGACCCTCCTTGCTGCTCGTGATCTTGGTCAGGGTTTCTTTGTGGTTGTTGATGATGGTGGAGAAAGAACTGTTGTTGTTGTTGTTGCTGTTGATGTTGTTGTTGTTGAAGATGTAATTGGAAGTCTCTAGCGTGGAAAGGAGGAGGGAGAGAGCTTTGTGATCCATGAGATTGAACTGGATCCATTCTATGTGTGAGATTGATCGATGAGAGGAAGAGAGATGAGAATTGATATTGACCTAATTAAGAGAGAGTGGTACTCTAGATAGAGAGAAGAGGAAAAGAAATAATAATGTTTTCACAACAAATATCAAGCTGGAGTTTTCTTCTTCATCTTCTTTCTTTGATTGATTAGGTAAGGTTCTCTCTCTCTATCTTTCTTGTCTTGTTATTCTCTTCTCTCTAGATTTTTTTATAGCTTCTCTTTCTGATTTGAGTTGTACTTTGGGAGGAAGTGAAAAAGAAGGCTTTTGGTAGGTTTTTTTATTTCTCACTGTTTTTTTTTTGTAGTTTAGTTTATTTGAGATGTGTTGGGGTTTTGAGGTGTCTGTGGGGGTTGTCTTCTCAATTTGCTTTGGTTGGTGATTGGTATATTAGGGTTAGGAAGAGAGAGAAAGAGAGGGACAAGAGAAGAGAGAGATGTATAGCTTTTGTGTTTGTTCTTGGTGCTTATGACAATGACATCATTTTCATGTTTTAGGCGGTGCTTTGGTCCCTACCTCATACGCCATTTTTGTTTTCTTTGTATATAACGTTTCAATCGCTCTTGTTTACGTTTGCGATCTTAATTATTTAATTAGAGTCTTATTTTTGATTAGTTGATATTATTAATTTTTAGTATAAAATTTATCACATAGTTATTAACTCTAGTTCTCTATAGTTGTGTTTTGTGATGAAGCCCCAATTTCTACATCATACGTAGTAACTACACCTAACATCATATCTCAAAATACGTGTATATTAATATGTATATAATGTATCTTAAAATATGTATAATGTATCATGCATATATATATATATATATATATATATAGACACAAACATATGTGTATACAATGAGTGTTTCTAAATAAGAAAATAAAGGTTTGAATAATTGCAACGGTTAAATACATCAAACAGTTTTTCATTTATCATTCATAAGTTATAATCCGTAGTGTTGTGGATTAAAAAAAAAAAAGTAAAAGAATTTTGATACAAACTAATCATTTACCGTTTTTACATAAAAAATGAACTTGTTTTGTAACAATTTATTGTGTGTTATAAAATAAAGTAGGAGCATCATTATTGGTGAGTTTTTAGAAAGGGAAGCATAAGAAATCATTAACCATGGTATCTTAGGAGTAATATTTGCATACAAAAATATCTTGCATAAGAAAGTATTTTAGCTTAAGAAACACTAAAAGCTCACCAATAATGGTGGTCTAACTAAACTTTTAACAGATTTGTCTACTCTAAATATTGTAACCATTTGAACATTGAAAATCTTCTAACTTCTAGGGCAATGCAAGATATGAATATGGCCACGGCTAAAGTAAAGTTAAAAATGTTTTTAACAAATACTATTGATCAGGAGCATGGGCAATAAGGTTAGACAAATGTTATTTTGTATACTATTATATTAAGGAACAAAAAAGGTAAGAGGATGCGATGTGTGGATATGGCATTGGAGAGAGTGAAGTAATAAGAAGACGCGAAGAAGGCGCTGACAAATCTCAAACCCAAAGGGAGAAAGCACGAGAGAGAGAGACAAGAGATTGTTGAATTGAATGTGCAGAGCAAAGCAGAGAGGATCGGAGAGAGACAGAGAGAGGCAATGGCATGAGCATGACTCTTGTGGACGCAAACCCATGTCTTAAAAGATGCTCTTTGTCGGCTCTCATGCTCTTCTTTCCTTCTCCACGTGCCCCTTCTCGTTTTGCATCTTTTGATTAGCAACGCAACGCCCAATTCGACGAAGTAAAAAAAACAGATTTGGCTTATGTATTAAAAGCTACTATTTATAACTTATCTTCTTGCACTATATATAATAACTGTCTTTTGCAATATATTCACTAAATAATAAGAATTTCCAAATCCTAAAAATTATGATAAAAACTAAAGAGGTTATCTTTGTGACTGTTTTGATTGCATGTTGGTTATATATGTGTACTATTGATGAGTATATGCATGTTCTTAAGTTGCATTGATGCGAAAACAACATATTCGATATGTACCATTGATCATATAAATGGTAAAAATCACAGGTTTACGCAATCACAAATTCAAGAACATATTTCATCTTTTATGTTATATGGTCGTACGTACATATGCCATATTTTAGAGGCAAATCATTGGTTATCTAGACCATCTTATATATGAGATGGTTGAGGAGATAAAAGCAAGTTAATAGAAGAAGAACACAGTTCCACCAAACGAGGAAGTTGCTGTTAATGTTTGACTTTATTAGACTGATACCTAATCTCAAATATATGACTCATAATTAAGTTCTATTCGCAACTCATATTTACATTATAAATCGCTCCCTTTTTTTAAATACATGCAAATAGCAAAATTTATCATTTTTTTATACTTTGAAAAGTTGGTTATATATTATGCACGTGTTAAGAATATAACTTAATAAAATTGAATTGTCATTTATTTTACAATAATTTTATTAATTCCAATTTATGATTAGCATGAAATTCACTCTATAATCTTGTTGTATTGTTACCATGCACTTATATAATTACAATATTCATCATTTTCTTACTTTCTAACCATATAGCTAGCATGATGTTTACGACGTATCAATTATTTATGTATTCTCCATATAAAATTATCTGCAAGTATCTACTATAGTATTTGTCAAAAGAAAAGCCAAAACCAAAGTTTTGTGTAAATTAAACCAACAATTAGTTGGTTTGATAACGGTTATTGATCCCAATACAAAGGATTACCTTACGTCATAGTATTAAGTGTTATTCAAAGTGTGATAATTATCAAATCAATAAATTTTTTTTTGGGAAATGAGGTTACTTTGTAATTTCTATATTTTTCCCTCAAAAGGCTTGAATTTTGATCAGAAGAGCGTTTGAGTTCAGAAGCTCGCAAAAAGAGAGGACATCTTTTGCTTTCAATCCCGAATTTTACGGATTACTAATAGATTAGTTTAATAATTTAGTAGGTTATAATAGACTTATAGTATATGTTTAAATTCTGTTAAAGTATTGTTAGAAACATTTTGACATCATACTATATGTAATATATGGAGATGATGTTCTAATCATCTTATATGTCACTATCCCAAAGTTCGGTTTAACCATTTTTTGTTATGTGACATGCCCTAATAAATTAAATAGATTAGAAGAGCATCCTGAAAAATATATCCCAAAATAAAATTTTCTCACTTATCCATTATTGTTTTGTTGAGCTCTTCGGCCAAATTATTCATCATATCGAAGGCATTTCTCATCACATGATTTCTGTGACGCATCATTAAAAAAAAAACATGAAATTTTTAATATTTTGTAAATTGGTCATAAGTTTTCTCAGCATATTTTGTATTTATCATTAGAATTAATTTAAAAACTTACAGAAATAAATTAGGAAAATTTTCGAACTTTTCAAAATCAAGCTAATTGTTAAAATCTTTTACCATAAAGTTTTGAAAAAAGCTAGTCACTTATAATAAAATTTTAGTTGCTAACTAAAAGAAGGCATAGATAACCACAAAAGACTATCTTCCAACATTTTCCAAATTGTATTAAAAAGCATTTGGCCAAAAATGTCTTAAGATTCCATTATACCGTAAGGTAACATGTTATAATTATGTATACATTTTTTTGGTTGTATTTCGAAACAACATTTATATTATAAATAACAATGAGATAACTTAATCTATATGTATAATTCAGCTGTTGAAGAAGAAAAACCTGCTAAAATGTGTTCAATATTAGCTATGCTCTAATTTTATGAGTTTACAATTTAAATACATTAAAAAAATATATACAATGAAAATTACTCTTATTTTATAAAATCGACAGTTATATACAAGGTCAATAGTAGAAATGTAAAATAGTGAAATTATTTGAAGATTGAATATGGCTTAGTAAAACTTTGAGATTATGCGTTGTCAAAGTTAAAAATTCGTGATGAGGACAAAAAAAGGAGTAAAGGCAAAGACTTGGTAAAAGGCCAAAGGGGATGCAAGCTTGTAAAGCATCAAAAATGTTGTGATGTTAATTAAAACTATATACCTAACTTTTTATTTGCCCACACATATCTTTAAAAATAAGTTAAACAAATGGAATGAACCTATCACCTTGTAATTGTATAATGAACACAACAACTTGGTTAATATAAAATAACCAAATAAATAAAAGAGGTTGGTAGATTAAGCTGATGATTAATTAAATAATTCAAAATTAAGTACCCATGTGGATGGCACCTAATAGCACTCTCGAATCTTATCGTGCTTCTGCTTTCCTCACGAATTCAATTTATGGTCCCCCTCATAGCTAGCCAAATGTAAAATACATGTATTTTTTTACTACTGATTAACAAATGTTGGTATATATATATATATGTGTGTGTGTGTGATTTAAATATAAATTCGCAATGAATATATACTATAAGCTAAAATGATATATTGGTGATTATAAAAAATGTAATAAATTCTTTTCTTTTCCAAAATTAGCGTTTCAGATAGTAAAATTTGTTAAGACTTTTTATTTAGGCATTCCTTCTGTTAGTTCTTCTATAATAAAGAAAGTTTTATCTGAAAACGAAACAAAAAAAAATGGCTAGATATTTGAAACTAATGCAAACGTATCCCAGCAAAAACAAAAACTATTTTGACGTCCCAAAATTTATTAAGTTATCAACCAAAGCACATTAGATTTTTTTTTTTGTTTTGGGCAGAAAATAAGCACATTAAGCAAAATTTAGACTTAGTTTTAAGTTTAAACTGATGATATATATATATAGGATGCTTAATAAATCAGACCCCCGAAACAAATTGTTGGACAAATATATATCCGAAACCCTAAAGTTGAATTATAGCCTAATCGTTATGAAAAAAGAAAGAAAAAAAACCTAATCAAAAGATGGATTACTAGTATTCATGAAAAGTCGTGATATATAATAGGAGAGTAATGTCAAAGTAGTGGGGGAGTAATAATTAAGTGACAATTAGTGGGAGCATTAAGATGGCATTTGTTGAGACTTGAAAAGAGCTGATGACAAAATTGAGCTAAATGACAAAGCTAAAGCTAAAATATATAACTCACATGACATGATATACTAATACTATCATCATCAACCGTTCTTCTATCCATGAGGAGACTCGAGATTA